TATATATATATATATATATATATATATATATACATATATATTTTTTTTTAATTGAAGAAAATGATGTCAATGTCTGATCTAGAGGAAGATGATCAATATTATAATTTATCCTTGCGATATATAATCAGGAAACAACAATAAAACCCATCAAGATGACGGCAAATGTCAATTTTTGCAACTATTCGACCGTTAGATTACGTTGACGTGTAAGTGCTTAATTGATTCTTTTAATTTTTCTACGTGTAAATTAGATAGGTCTCAACTGAAGTTTGTTCAAACTTATAGTCGAATGTACTGGAAGTTGTTTAAATTTTTCATTATTTTTAGTAATCCTCTTACCGTAATTTAAGAAAATAAATCAAATTTATCATCATCAACTTATTTCGTACGGTATCTATCGAGCCGTGAAACGATAGAATGAAGTTTAAAATCTTGCTGAAAGAGCGCAGTTTATTCTTTAAAAAAAGAAATGATTAAAATTTATATGATGAGAAAATAGATTGCCTGATTTATTCTAAATTACGGATTATGCCTTTTATATAATAAACTTATAAAAATATGATCCCGATCTTAGAAGTGACCCTACAAAAGGTCATTGCTATTTATAAAGAAGAGAGTTCTTACTAGAGTGAATATTCCACTAGCAAAACTTCCCCTCCTGACGGACTTCCAGCAACAGCAAGAGTGGAGAATCGCCATGTTTTTCCTTCCTTCTTCGTAACCAATTCATGTAACGACTTTACAAATATTTTTCCTATTCCGAAACATGGAGCGAACAAGCCTAAATATCGTAGAGCGCATGCGTTTATATACGACCACGTGGTCATGGGATCAATATACTTAAGTTACCATAGCAACTGTTTCCATCAAGTGTCTTTGTGTTTCAGAAGTTAATCACTTTTTGGTGGCATCTCACTTTTTTTTCACCTAAAAATTTTGCATTTGTTATTGCTTATGCAAATTCTTCGATTTCTTTTTTTTTTGTTTGTGTTTTCCTTAAAAATAAATAAATATAGCATAATTTTGAAATGATTTCATTAATAAATCGTGCTTCTTTATTTATAAATTCCCGGTTTTACTTCAGATAAGTTAGGATGGAAAACTTTGTCGTGAACCTCAAGAAATTCTTCTTGCATAGAAGTTTATCATTAAGAACAATCTCCATTCTTTGTAGAGATGAAGTAACATCGTCTTGATTTTTTCCACTCTTTAACAATGGAAAAAAGAATTTTACTTGAAGAATTTGTACAGTAAATGCATTCAGAATGGTTAAATTTTCTTCTTCTTTTTTTCACGAAGAACACCTTCGGCAAAACGATGTTTAAGTAAAAAGTTTAGTCTTGCTGAAACTCATCTTATTTTTCTAAGGCGGTTAACATCAGAAAAATCATCCGGAATTTCCGAAGTAAAGAAATATTCACTTCTACAGTTTCAACATTCAAAATACTTTTTTTAAAAGCTATTCTTTAGTAAAAAAAATTGTTTGATTAAAAGCATTATTTATTTATTTATTAACCAAGTATATAAAATTCAAACTTTTCAGATTGTTTTAATTTGCTCTGAGGTATTTTTCTGTACAAACTTCACTACTGTTCCGTTTCGTTGATATTTTTCAAGAGGAAGTTTATTTTTATTGAAAAATAATTGAAATATTTTTTTTTTGTTAGAAGTTTGCAGAGCTTACATTTCAAAATATATTTGGTTTTTGATTTTATGTATATTATAATACGATACTTTTCACTCAGAGAAGTTGAGAGCAAGCTTTCTAATCCTCTTATACCAGAGATGGAACACTTGAGTCATCCTTTTGGTATCATATAGTAAACTAGACATAATTAGCTTTGAAAATGTTTATGCGTAACGAAGTTTTAGAGTAAAGATATTTTATTACACAGATTCTTATTAGGTGCCCCTATATGGGCCTGGTCCTAAGGTCCTTATTAGGTGCCTCTAGCTCATAATTCCGCTTCCAATCGTTGGCCCTGTTTACCATGAAAAGCAAAAAATGACATTGTAGGTTATACTTTTTTAGATGATTTCTACAAATTAAAATGAAATATAAGAAAATTTTGCGTGCAAATGTCTGCATACTTTCTGTAATTAATTCGAGTTAATGAGAAAAAAAATACAAAAGAAAGAATACACGTTGATATGTATCACTGGCTTGTTACTTTCAAAGATAAAATACATTATCTAATCACAAAGTTAACGAAGAATTTAAAAAAGAAAAGAGAGAAAAATGCTTTAAAATCATTATAAATATTACTTCTAGTAAAATTAATAAAGATGAAATTTTCTTCATAATAATCATCGTTCAAAAAGTTGTTTAACGAAAAATGTACTATTATAATTATAATTAATTTTTCCAATTCTCTAGAGACGNAATATAATATGTATTCTCTTATATAGGACCGTCGAAAGGGCCATTAGTTGTTGCTATCCCCTATAAATTAATACTATTTTTCTAATAGAAAATAAAATATTAAGAATTCATTTGTTAAATAATAATAAAAATAATAATACAAACTCTCTAAGAGCCCTTATACTTCATTCGGAAATAAGAATTTTTAAATTTATTTTTTCATAATTTACGTTGAGGTGGGTCAACGTGGTTTTAGGCATAAATTGAGTAAAAAACATAATAAAACAATAGAATTCAGCTTTATCTTTCTTTGAACTGGTTATTTTCTTTATCTGAAATCGTCAAAGAACATAAATAATTAAATAAGGATTTACATAAGTATAGATTTTATGTAAAATAAAAAATTCGATAACAATTTAAGGTATCAAAAATGTAAGAAATATTACAATATTTCATCAGTCTAAATCTTTAAAACTTAACATTATTTATATAAATTATTATAATTAAAATGTCTAGTATTAAATATTTAAAACTTTTTCCTGATTTAATAGAAAGAAACAATAAAATTTATGCTTAGAAATACTTTTTATCTATGGGGTGACCATCAATAATCTGTTATACCTGAGATAGAGCAATCATGTTGTTTATCCCCAAACTGGTATTTTAAATGAAAAAAAAAATGGTTATTTTAAAATCTGTTATATAATTGACCTATAAAATGGTTCTATTTAAAAATTTATTTTACTTTTAAGAGTTATAAACCGAAAAAATTGGGAATTGTCCCAGACAAACCGCGATGTATAGTCACCCTTAATTTTAGTATTTGAGGCAAGTCTAAGATTTGGCGCTAATGTACAGTACTTATATTTTATAAACATTATGACTCCCTTTTAGTATCCCTTCCTTCCAATTTAGCGCCTGAGTAGTTGCTTCTCTGCCTCATCTGTGGGCAGGACCCTGATCACCCTAGTTATAGGGCTTCTCTAATGTATTCATTAATGTATTTATTTCTTTGAAAAGAAAGAAATAAATTTATTTTACATGTAATTGTTATTATATTGATATCATTTATATATTACATCATTAAAACAAGAAAGTACCCTATATATATAATTATTTTTCTCTATAAAAAAACTATAAATTTACCTGTTATTTGTGTTACTCTTTTAATAAAAAAAACAACAATAAATATGTCAAAATCAATATAGAGTTATATAAATTCGAAAAATTTATGACCTAAATTCGATATTTATGTTATGTTGTACACGTAATATTCAGTTTATCGGCTAATAAACTTAGAACAAATTTTATTTATTTTGACAATCGAGCTCGTATTGGAATAATTTTTAATTAAAATCTATTGTAATTGAACTAGTTTATTAATGAACTAGAAAAGTTTAGTAGTAGTAAATTACAAAGCTTTCTACATTATCTACTATCGTAATAAAATCTAAACTAATAAATATATCCGAGTTAATCTATAATAGATTTCCTATAGGAATATTAACCTTGGGATAGAATATCATGCTATTTTTCCCTTAATATTCCATCGTTTAATCTGATTTCGCTTAGGAAATAATAGCAAGTTAATTAATTAACGATGAAATAAATGTTCTGAACTTAATTACATCTTGAATATTCTTCTTACAAAAATAAAGACAAGTTAATTTCTTCACCTGTCTTTCTGATCATCGAAAAAATGAAAGAAAAACCAGCAATTATTTATTGTAACATCGTCACAATTGCCGGACTGTAATTTTTAATCGTGTTTTTTAAATTTATTTAATTTAAAATATATGCTCTCCATCTCAAATTAGTAGTGGCTTGCCCCTGTAAATCATACTTTTCCTGATAACGATAGAGTCGTGCCGGTCATCTATCTAACCTCTTTCAGGAGAAAATTTTTCAATTGAAATAACGTAACTTCTGTTGTAAACTGGAAGTTCGTATGTTTTAGTTAATCGGGCCTCCTGTCTGTAATATGGTCTCGACTTTCATTTATTTAACTTCATTTTCGAAATTAAGGAAGGATAGACAGTGGGAATTTATATGTCTACAATTTTTTTTCAAATTGCAGCACAATTAAAATATGTAATTAATGTGTTTTTTTCTTCGTATATCTTTATTTTGGAAAACAAACTAATTCGTTTCGCTTTATTATCTTCTTTTTTTGTTGTTGTTGTATTATATCTGATGTTTTAACCTGAAGAAATGTTCCGTTTTATCAAGAATCCCTCCGGTACTTTGGTCATCATTTCACAATATTTGTTGAAGCTTCTATTATCCTCTTGTCCTTTTCTAATGCTTCTCGATTCAGCCGTTAAGACCATAAGCCTTATTTTTTTACGAAAATTTTCGAAATTAACAACGAACGTTTCTTTATTCCGTCCAAAAATATGACTTTGTATAAAATATAACTATATTTTTACGTTATTATTACGAAAAAAAACACATTGTTTTAAATACACGTACATTTATAATGACAAATTAATTAATAATCGCATGTTGCGGATAAAAAAGTGGCTCATTGAAGTGTTGCTCGTATAGATTACCTGTCACTGGCACGTGTTTCACTCACTCTTTAAACTTGTTTAACTTCAATCTGTAAAATTCAAAAAGCATCTCGTTTCTCCTAGTCACAGATACACTTGAAGTTTTTAATAAAAATTAAATAATAAGCCGATAATTCTTATAAAACCGTAAGAAACATATACTTTTTTTTAAACGTTAAATGTCAAGCTAATTCTGAATTTTCAGAATTAAAACAATTTCCAGGTGAGGGTGTACAACAAAAAAATTTATTCGAATTTTTTACCGAAAAATACGTATATTTACAAAAAATATGAAAGAAAAAAAAATCGGTTTCTCCTTACAATCGATTGACAATATAAATGCAAAGAGGATATTCCAATGGTATATCATGTAAAACATGACGATATTGCATCGTGGACGTAAATATTTAAAGTAGAAGGCATTTCCACAATTAGAATAAATATTTGCCTTGACAAAAAACGAAAATCTGATTTTTTTTTATTAGTTTAATCAACTGTTTACATGAAAAAACTTGCTCCGTTTATTAAAAATTTTCTTACCAATTTAGAATTTGTAATCTTAATTTTTCTTTTAAATATATATAAGCCTATGATTTTGGTTTATAGGTGTATATATATATATATATATATACGTAGCGATGCTTCGAATCCCAATCAATAAATCGATTTGAGAAAGCCCGCATATGTTTTATCATCATTATTATTAAAAAAAGGGATTAAAGTTGATATGATTAGCTTCAAAATTTAATTTCTCATCTGTTATCACAGACTCTCGATTATCCGTTATAGGACGGGAAATATAGACTTTTACAAAACACGTATATATTAAAATATACAATACAAATATTGCAAATTTTTTGTTTTCGCCCATCTTTTTTTCTTTATCCGTTATAAACACGTCAATTTCCCACGATTCTTTTTTGCTTATTGCCACCATCTTGCATCTTCTAAACGGAGGTGGGAGATCCGTTTTGTTGTTCGACAGCCGACATATCCACAGACGTTTCTCCGGGGGAATACAGTTGTACTTGTACCAGTTTATTCCCCGTAGAAGCCGAAGGGCGATATGGGACATTTAAACTTAGCCTTCTATAGGGGCAGAATTCCATCTGATTGGGTGAAAGAGGTCTCCTGTCTCTCAGCGAACTAATATCTGTGCTGCCCTTCCTTCTGACAGGATCGGGATTGTATTGTTGTTCTTCGGATATTGTGCTCAATTCCGGATACAGTAATTGTTTAACCGGTACAAAAGACGGTCGGCGATGATTAGGGGGGACGAGATAAACGGACGATTGCACCCCCTCATCTGTTAAGGTGGATGTCATGGTGGATGGAGTGCGGGTCGACGTGTTATAGGATGAAGGAGCGCATCGAAGCATCTGCTGTCTCTGAAGATAAATAAATAATAGGGCGATATTTATACTAATTACGAACATCTCCAACTTAATTACTTTCCTAAGATAATTAATTTATATATATATAAAGATATGCCGTTAAAATTTATAAAGTAAATAAAATATTACCTGGTCGATGGATAATTCGATTAATCCGTGTCCGCTTTGAATCATTTGATATTGTGATAGCACGCAGAGAAGGCAATAAACCTATAAAATTAAGCAAAATATATTTAGCAACATTTAAATTATTTTAATATATTACACATTTGAAATTTTCTCTTTTATATAAGGTCTCGAAATTGAATATAAAATATAGTAGTAATCTCTCGGCTTTAACTTTAAATATAGATTTAATCGTACGATTACTTCTCAAAGATCTTTGAATATTTTGCGTGTTTAAGTGATATTATATTTTCATTTCTTCGATAGTTTATGGCTGTGTTGTTGAATATATTCTTTCTAAACATTCGGAAAATGACGCGCATCAATTACTAAAATATCTTTACGTATCGTATTTTCCTCCTCGTTTCTTTCTCTTATTGATTTACTCTTACTTCTTAATTCTTAGCAATCTTCTCGGTTATAACTAAATTTGTATGTTAATTTCGGAATAAATAAATTTATAAGATTCCTAAAATATTAAAGATAGTAAAATTTGAAGTTATACGAATCTTGTCGGCATTTCAATTTAATCCGTAAAAATAGTTCTCTCGTTAATTCAAAGATCGAAACCAGAATGTTTTTAGAATCATATTATTATTTTTCTAAAAGTAGAAAAAGATTTAAGAGAGGAAATGAAACAAAAATAAATCTTCCAAATTTGATTGCCTTAAGTAACTTATAATTGATTTTTCTTCAACCGCTAATCAATAATAACAAAAAGAAATGTGAATTTCTATCAAAATTATCATATTTTTGAAGTTCCTTACAAACATTTTAAATAAACAACAATATAATTTACCTCTTTTTTTCATATTTTTAATTACAAAACAAGTTTAAGACGTGGATTTACGTGAGGATTACTTTCTTCTTTTTTTTGTTGGACGAAATATTTACGACGAAAACATGAACATGTTTACATTAAATTTTCAAATAAAGTTGGATAATCGTATAAAATTTATTTCTTAATTCGAAATGGCAAGCATTCTTCTTTAAATGAAACACTTCGTTATGCTTTCCTTACTACACGAGAACCCTAATTAACAGAGGCACGTTATAGCTTTATAGGGCCTAGGCAAATTTGAATTAAGGGGCATCGTGTACATTACAGTGTTGATTTCAGATATGTTTTTTTGAAAAATTTTTTTGGGGAAATATTTTCTTATAAAAGATTGATTTGGGGCCCTACAATTAGTGGGGGCCTCAGGCAATTACCCTTTTTTTTTGCTCACAGGATAACACTGACTTAAGTTTAGTTATAACTGTTATTAACAAATAAAGAAAACAATTTTCACAAAATGATAATGATAAATTATCATTAAAAATTTTATATATTTGTTATATTGATGAGTATTCAAAAATATTCAAATATAAATTTCAAATCAAGTTAATTTATAGATAAAGAAAAATCAAGAAATATTCAACATGTTAATTATTTTACTTCTGGTAGAAATAAGCTCTTGCCTACGAATTAGCGATAAAATCCAGAGAGAGAGAGAAAGAGGTGAATTGTTTAATTTGACCTCCATTGAAAGCACTCCTGACAAAGGTAGCAAGATGATGAGATATTCACTTTGTTTTGAAATTAAATGGAAATTTATAATAATGATAAATAATTTATTATTATTTTTTAACATTAAAAAAATGTTTAATAAAGAAAACAAATAAAAATTTATCGCCATACTATAGGCTCGAGTAAGATAATAAGTTCTTACTTAAGGAATTTTTAGTTAACAATAGGCCTATATACTAATTTACCAACTTCTTTTCCTATTATTTCACTTATTTTATTGAATAATAATCTCTAAAATCCCTATTCAAGTTGTTAAATATTAAAAACAAATTAACGTTATTTTTATTATAATTACTAAAATTTCGTGTACAAACTTAGAATTTGTTATTGTAAGTAAGTAAACCCACGTGAAAAATAACACAAAACTTTTGTTGTTCTTACAAAATGATTTTAATATCACTTTCCTGAAAACACAATGCAAAGTATATGTCATGTATGCCAATATCAGCATTAAAAAATTAATTCAGTGAAAGTTAAATCGTTGCTTATATACAGTGATTCTACATTAAATAAAGTAAATCCTCGATTTAACATACCCCGGTTTAACGGATTTATTTGAGTAAAAAAAAAAAAATATTTAAAACCTTTTTATTCGCGAATAGACCATTAGATTAAAGGGTCGACGAATATAAATTAATCAATATGTATTATATTAATATTTTATTTATATATACACTTCATAACATTTTAAATTATTAGTACTGTACAGTAGAGCCTCGATTATCCGACTCAATTGGGGACTGGGGTTGGTCGGATAATTGAAAAGTCGGATAACCGAAAAGTATGAAAAAATCCATTATTAGTGTAGTATTTTATTATATCCCATGTAATTAGTATATTAGTATATCGCTATTAACCTACTTCGCGTTGAATTTTCATCGATGTTAAGCCTAACAAAAATTTTTTAAAATAATAATCGTCGCTATTGTATCGTTAAAAATTAGAAAATTAAGCCTCGTTTAAATACTGGCTCTCTTTCATGGTCGAATGAGTGTTGCCAGCTAAAACACGTAAAAATAATATTAAGGTAGCCAAGACATAGCTAAATATTGTAGCGCCACATCACTACAGGACATTTGAATTAACCGACTAGGACGGTCGGTTAACCGAGGTGTCGGTTAATCGGTGGTCGGATAATCGAGGCTCTACTGTATATATGTTTTTAATACGCACTCGATTTAGCGGATTCTCCGTAATAACGGATTCATTTCCCCCAATTAGTCCGTTAAATTGAGGGTTTATTGTAATACATAAGTGAATTTTTACCGGATAAAATGAATATTGATTTCTTAATTAATATCTGTTTTCTTACGTTAATTTTTTTTATGAGATTCTCCTTTACAGTTAATACTAAATACGGTCTGATTTGTACTGTACATAAGCTAAACAAACTACAGCTTAAGGCCTCAGGGCCCATCAGTGGTCGAGTGAAGAAAACTGGCCGTGGGTTTACACCTGACCACCGGGCTGGCCACGTGGAATTTTCCCGGTTTTCTTTATGTTTGTAACACCTAAATAGAGGTCAATTTCCCATTAAAAAGACCACGCGCGAGGCATTACTCCCTTGGCAGATCGCCCACACGTACGAATAAAACTAATTAGGGATTCAGCTACGAAAGGTCTTGCTATATCCTCATAAAAATGAATATATAATGACCAGTATTATTTAAGGGCGCGATAAAAAATTTTACACGTTATAATTTAGGGTCATAACTAACTCGATTGCTCCACACCATTACAGTTCCACTTGGTCCTATTTCTTAGTGTATTAATTCCTTGAAGATCATTAAACACAGTACTTACTTTAATTAAAACTTATGAAAGATTATACGAGTTGTATAATGATTTAAAAAAATATCTATTTCGATAGAATACTTATTCAGAGACTAAACTTTTTTTCTTCTATAAAAGATATTAAACCATATAAAAGTGCTCATTTAAAAAAGAAGAAATCAATAGAAAAATCAACGTTTTCATTTACATAATAATGAACATTTTGTAAAGATAATTAGATATTTTCTAGTAAGCGTATTACATTCTATTTCTGAAAAATCATTAGATGCTATCGAGTAAAAATGCGTGATGAGGTTTATAAAATATCACCATGTTAATTGATTTTGCGATGATTAACTGTGAGTGATGATTTGTGACAGAGTCGTGTTCGTCTTAATTTACAAAGAGCTACCAACCGGAAAAGCAGTCCCATAATTTTATTTAAATCTTTGAATTAACCATATCCATTCTTCATTTTAATCGAATTATTATCACGGAAGGAGCGGTACAGAATTCCGAATCAGATTAAAATGTCTACAAAATCGTAACCTGATAATGTTGTTAAGCTGTGATTTGAAAAATTTGTAGACTTATAAATTCCCACTGTCTGTCTGTCCTTCTTTAATCTCGAGAACGATGTTAGATAGATAAAAATCAAGACCAAATATGGAAAGTTTAGGAGTAGGAGTCCCCGATTAACTATATAATAACTTCTGGTTTATACTGAATATTACTTGATTTTAATTCAAAGATATTTCATACATAGATGGCTGGCATTACTTTGATGTTATCAGGAAAAGTATGATTTACAGGAGCAATCCACTAGTAATTTGAGATGGAGAGCATATATTTGAAATTCGTATACAGTTAATCGGAGTCTCCTGCTCTTAAGGTTTCCATATATGGTCTTGACTTTTATGTATTCTAACATCGTTCTCGAGATTAAAGGACAGACAAACAGTTGGAATTTATAGGTGTACAATTTTTTTTTAAATTGCAATCCAATAACATTAATTAACGAAAGTTTCTTTTTGACAGAGCTTTGACACCGGATCATTAAACAAACAGACGTTTGTTTTCGCAAATTTAATCGCATGCCAAATTTTAATTTTAGAGATTTTGATTAAATTTCAACAGGTCAACAATGTCGACATGTCAAATGTCGACAGGTCAAAAGACCTGTCGACATTCTAATCTTGTAGGGATTTTGAACGGATCCCGTCGTGGAATTAAATTTTACTGATAAGTCCTTCGATTTATGGACGAGGATAGTGTTTGCAGACATTCTACATCATTAATAGAATACTGTACATTCGTTTCAACGTTTTTAAATGCTTAAAAAAATACGGGCTACAGGAAAATTAAAATTGCTGTGATCGATAAAGGTTCTTATCGCGACGTGACATTAAAAATGTGAACTCTATTAAATTCGGGGAAAGACAACTCGGTGTTGTTGTTTTATCATTAACTAGGATAAACACAATTTTGATCTCTATATCCGCTCTCTGGTTAAATTAGGCATGAGAACAATTTAATTAAGTAAATTTAATCGAATATTAAGACTATTCATTCAAAGTCAACATCTATTGGATTATGAGATTAGTGAATTGTCCAAATCGTTAGGAAAATTGAGAGCTGTAGAGAAGTTAAGGATCTTCACTCCCAGGGATTTTCACTTAAATAGTCTTAGTATTATTTTAAACAATTCAAAAATTAAATTTTAAAGCTTCTACCTGTTGAATTTTGTCGTGTAATTTATAATACACTTTGCATTATTATTATTTATTTATTTTAATATGTCTTCAGTAACTCTTATTTGCAATTCCGTCGAACTAATTAGCATCAGCATCAAAAATATTTAAGTATGGCATATAAAATGATGACAATATTTGTTTTTAGTAAATTTAAAATATAACAATACTTATGCAAATAACCTATATTCAGTTTTTAAAGATTTACGAAAGTGATCTTAAAATTGTCAACCACTAAAAGTCTATATATTAAAGTATAATCCGCGAGCATTCTCCAGGTGGTCTACAAACTTACCTAATCATTTTTTTTCACAATGCATATTTATGCTGTTTAGACAGAGGAAAGACCCTCCAAGTGGCTGTGTGGATAAAACCATTGAACCACTCCTACAGCTAGTTTCATGAATCTTGACCAGTAGGATCCAGTCTATTTACTTAGTGAAAGGAACGGATTATTTGTCTAAAATATGACAAGGAAACAAAAAAGGGGGTTCTAAACTTTGTAAAACTTTCAGAGTTCCAATCGAGTACGTGCATCTCCCGTCCAAGATATACGAAATGATCTGTAGTTAGTCGTGGGTTCGAGCCTCACCAACTGGCTGAGTTTTCCGGATTTCACATTTGTAATATTTAAATAGGGACCAGTTTTCCATGGAGAGTTCTCTAGGGATGCATCTCCCCCGTATCCCACCGAACCATCTCTTACGTTAGATTATAGGATAAACAAAATATTTTGGCACACAATCCATCATTATCTAAGGTGATAACTACAAGATAAGAAGTAGACATGGTATAGTTGATCCCCGTTCATCCGTGATTCTGCTTAACCTGTTCGCTGATCAATAATTTTGAGAATTACAGATCTATTTAACTACTCTTAACTTTTAAAAGCGCAACATAAATTTTCAAACGATAGCTACTTATCACGTATAGAAACATTCCTAATTTATGTTTAATATTCCTATATGAGAAAAAGAAACTCACGTTTAATGCGCATATGAATATATCAGTTACGAACAGAACGGCGATAAAAGGGTCAAAAACCTGAAATAAAAAAAAATGTATATTTGTATATAACAATGGAGAAAACTTAATTTAGACGTTTTTAAGTTATTATATACTTACCGCTTCCATAATTAGATAGAAGGAAAGAATGACATCCAACAGAGTGGTCAGAGAGATGGAAACCAACCATGGTAGGAACAAATGACGATTGTTCTGTTCGAAAAATACTTCGGATGAGTTCAGAAACACAATTATAACTTTTACGAGTGATTCCGAATGCATTTTAGTGTTAAAAGAGGAAATATAATGTGAAAACTCACCGTGCACAATCCAATTATGAGTACAATCGAAGTGACGACACAAGCGACAGACAAGACCACCATTAACAGACTGAATGTCAGGAGTGCTGCGTTATTAAATCTTATTTTAGTATAATTTCTGGTGCGTATAGTACATATTAACATAAATGTGGGATGCGAAAAATACATTAATAACAACATAAAATATTGTCTTATCTAACGAGAAAACCGGATTATAAATATTAAAAATGAATACTTAAATCCGTGCCAACATAATTCAGGAACGGAGTCCGTTTTAGATGTAAGTTATAATAAGACAGTGTAGATAGAAATGTTAAAGAAATGCGTTGCCGGGAAGAATTCTTAAGTATATCTTATTAGTTAATCTGTAAGAATTCCGGAAGAAATACTTTATTATGCCAATTATCCTATTCGATTGCATAAAATATGTAGACGTCCCGGAATTAGTTAACTATCTCTCACAAATTATAATTTAATTAACGCTAGAAACATTAAATGTTACAAGATGACAAGACGGAAATGATTAAACGAGACGAAGAAGACACTCGACGAATTTCCAAGGAGATAAAGATGACGTTATAGTAGTAGAGCGTAAAATCTTTTTAGAGTTGCCATTTTTCGCCTGGAGAAATACAATACACAAGAAGAGAATGTAGATAGAACCGGTGATAAATTACGTTAATGTTCCGGATGTTTGGCGTAAATTGCTCTCTCAATCATTCGGAAAATGTTGATAGTTTCACATAATTCCGGAAATAAAGAAGAAAATAGAAACGTCGTCATAGAAAAGCCACAAGGTTTCTCCCTCTCTCTGTCTTGTTTATATTATTTAGAGTCTCGGTCAGAAAGGAAAGAGAAAAATCCGTGTGCCATTTATTGAATTATAACCGGAAAAAATGGAAGAAATGTCTACAATTTTCAACCTTTTTACGTCGCGACGTCTGAGTTTAACTCAATTAACAAATAAGAAAATGGCTCCTTTGGGGTATTGTCTGTTTCGTTTAAATCACTGTTCATTTTCGTTATATATTCGGATAAATATAATGCATATATATATATATAGGGACGACATTTTCTCTTATAATTCTTGACTCTGTCCATAAATTAACAGTTTCTTGAGGGTCGAGTATATAATAAATTGAATCAAGTCAAAGTCAAAATATATTATAAAGAAAAAGAAAAGGGAAAGATCGTTACAACTTCATCGATCCATTTTTCTATTGGATAAAGCATAAAATGATTGTTTCCCGTCTTATTTAATCATAACATAAATGAGAAGATGATCAAAAGCAGCGACAAATCCTATTCACCAAGAAAACTTTATCATTCATTAAATTTAGAAAATTCTTTAATGGCTTTAGAGATGTATTTTCTTAGTTGATTATGAAAACATTATAATAATAATAATAAATGAATACTTTATTACTGGAAATATTTTTATAAATNTATTATAATAGATTAAATAGAAGAAAAAGTAGATACTGACCAAAGTGTATATAGCACACGCATAACTTCCACTTCTGACTGATTTCCAGCAACAACAGGAATTTAAGATAGCCATGAAAGGCGAAATAAATAAACAAATAGAAGAGTGTGTATAATCCTGGCAAGTATGTGAAGTACGTTTTGGATTTCTGTTGTTTCCATCTGCCGGCGCTGGAGGAACTAGGCAGATATAATCGATGTTCAGCCTCGATCTCGTCGTCCTACGAACATTTCGTGTTTAAACAAGGGTGAGTTTTCGCTTCGATTCGATTTGTGAATAGTTTCTAAAGGAAATTGCCCAACAGTTGTTAGCAAACAATTCCGCCCTTTCTCTGCTTCATTCCTTTTCATAAAGAAGATACAAAGCCGTTTAGAAAGAGTTATATGATTAGTCGAAACTCAAACAACTATCGACGTATCACTGGCACAGAACTTTATTAGTTTCAAACTAGTTTTAATTATTTTCTCTTTCATTCGTTAATTTCTCAATATTAACTTTATCGACAGAGGCGCGTTAAAGCTTCGTTGGGGGCCTCCAAGTGAAGTGTCGACGTCAAACATTTTTTTTTGGGTGAGAGTCCCTTGTATCCTCGTTTGTTTTTTAATGAGAATTCTAGCAGATTTCGATATTCTTAATACTGTAGTGAGTTTATAAAAGATTGGTTTGGGGCACCTTGTTAGTGGGACCTCAGGTAATTCACCTTTTTGCCCATAGGATAACGTTTAGCCATAAATGTTGATAAATGTTGCTTCTATATCAAATTTTTATACGTTCTATTGATAGAAAAAATCTTTCTTCGTGAGAACGAAGCTTTAAACTTAATTTCTAATATACTTTTATTTATTTATGTTTTAAATTTTATCAGTTAAATTTGGATTATTACACGTGTTAATCCATTTAGTTATGATGCATTATAAGAGAAGTAAGCTTGACATTAATAGTAAGGTATATCGAGTTATTGTTTTATAAAGATATACGACCGTGAAAATATTGTTATTTATACCATCCGAACCTATTAAAAAAATTGAAAAATCACATAAAATATTTAGGCCTAATTAAATTTCCCATCTTTGTCTTTCATCTTGTTCGGCCATTATTTTATTTTATTTTTTTTTAACTTTCTTCTTTGTAACAAATTAAAATTTAAATATATAAAACTTTAATAAGACAAAAATTGAAACAAAAGATAAACCACTAGAGCAAATTTTTTTCTTCCTCTTCACCTTTGATGATAGATTTAAGATCCAATTATTTCACAAAGAAGAAATTTATTAATAGGAAACAATGAAGTGAAAAATAAACATGAGAAATAATAATGTATATCTGTGATTTTTTAAAAAATTTATGTAAAGTACTGTACATATCATTATCCAGATAAATAAACGAAATAAAAAGATTAAGAGGTTTGAATTTATGAAAAAATAATTCTTACATTTATCTCCAGATCAAAGAAATTGTACTGAAAAAATTTGTAGGAGGTTTTAAATTAATTATATTTAATTAACTGAGAGAGCCATCAGAATTGTTAATAAGCTTAATTAGAGGTGATTTTTCAAGTGTTATCTGTTAGAATAGTTGTAATTGGCAATCCAGAAACGATGACTACAAATTCAGGAAATTTATTTAACAATCAACAAGGTTAATGTCTATTTAAAAACATCTAGAAAACAAAAGATATTTATAAGATTTTTTTTGTGTGTGTGTGTGTTTTAATGATAAACATTCGTATATTTTATTTTATAAATCCCAAAAGAATTGATTCTAATTTATTCTACGTGTATTACACAAGAAGAAATTTAAAAGTTTTTATTTAGAAAAATAATTAAGACCCGAGGGATGCGGGATGTCTTTGATTAAATGATAATATTTCCAATTAGAAATTCTAACAAGACTTTACAATTGTACTTCTTCTGGTACCATCAACTGTACCATTAGCACGAGTATTAAGTGGCTAAACGATTTTGTCTGTTGTAACTCTTCACTTGCTAAATTAATCTCGTTGTTCGGTTCTTTGTAATTTCATCAACGATAACTTCATACAACGACCTAATTTCTCACATAGCGCTCCTTTTGAAGTTTTGCATTATCTCCTTTACAGATTACGTGTAATTAAAACTCTTAACGGAACTTTCAATTGGAACTATTCTTTTATTTAGTTATGTCTATTATATATTTTTCTATTGTTTCTTAGTTCCGTAACAAGGATTTTCGATATTATAAAATACTAAAAAAATATTTCATTCAATGATAAAATGTTTGATTTTTGTTTATATTTGTCATTATTTAAAAAGGTGATTTAAAGGAATTTCTGTAAGCTCTCAACATAAAATCTACAGAAGAAAAGTATAAACTGTTATAACTTTTTAATCAAATAATTAATTTTCTTAATTACATTAAAAAGAATATTTCTTGGAAACAAATCTTATTTAAATCTCATAATTATGTATTTTAATCAATTGATAGTATTAATTGATTATAGTATTTAGTTTATACTATACTATTCTAGGCTATAACAGTGTTAGTATTAATTTAGGCATATTATATTGATACTAACTAATACTGTTATATAGTATCAATATAACAATGTGATGCATATAGTTGAACATGAGCATACCAACATAGGAGTCGAGGAGCATAAAGCAAATTCAGATACAGAAAGCAGAAAGATGAACAAATTATCAATGAAAAAAAAACCATTTTAATTTGGTTGGAAATGAAAGATTTCAATATAATTATATTTATTTATTTTGACATTGATGATAAATATCATAAAAGTAATGATTAGTTTTTTAAATGTTTATATTTAAAAATAATATCTGTGTGAATTATAAAATAAATCATTCACGAAACCATAATAAATGAAAATATTTTAATATAAAAATAAACCATTATATTAAATAAAGAATTGTACTTGATAGGCTATTTAATATGTGAATTGTATGAATTAAAGTAAACGTGAATATTTTGACAATTGATATTGTGTGTAGGTGAATAATTTTATTTTTATGTTTTTGCAGATAAACACGTTGTTATCTTTTCTACTTTATAATATTCGATTGCGATTTATATTTAGGAATTTCGGTCTTATGTCGAATGATAATGTCAACAAAGATATTATTAGAGGAGGAAAAAAATTGGACGATTGTGTGGAATATCACTATACTTTGAAGGATAAAAAAATACAAAGATTAGTTCCTTTGAGACATTTATTACTTTTCTGTGCAGATCTACAATATCAAGTTCTCGAGGAAAAATAAAAGATGCTGAAATATCTGATATATAAATACAAGTTTGACGAAATTGCCTGTATATGAAAGTACTTACTTCATTAAAGTTTTATTTTTTATTTATATAATTAAACCAGGAAGTCATATAATAAATTGTTCGTCTATAATTTCTTTTATTTTATATACATAAAATAAATCATTTAAAATTATATTATCTATGAATTTTAATGTACTTTATAAATCATATATGAAAAATTCAATTTGAAAAAGTACGAAAAATAAAAATGTTTAACTCAATAGAAATTCTTCTTCTTCTTCTTCTTCTTAGAAGTATATCTAATTAGTTATATATTTATATTATGTTTAGATATTAGAATAGAAGTATATTATATTTTTCCTTTGACTAAGATATGTTTTAATTGATGTATCATTCAATTAACTTATTTTCTCGGATGTTTATTGTGATTTTAAGCCGCTAGAAAAAAGGTATATCTTCAAATAAAGCTGCGATATTATCCAACTAAGACCTTCCCCATTTAATTAAGACATCGTCCAACTTAACAAATAGGTGGTATTTTCCCGAACTTTGATAGATCTCATCTCCCTGACTCTTCTCTACTTTAAATTATTAACATATTTAGTTTTACCAATATATTTCTTCACTAAATGACGTAAATAATGAATTCGACTAGAGAATTATCCGTTTCTTTACACGTTACACGGAACAGGTGGTATCGAAACGTGGCGATAAAAACACATTAAAACGATAAATATCCTTTAAATTTTCAATAAAATAAAAGAAAAAAATGTAGAAAACAGTTTTAAAAAAGTACACGTCTTATTATTATTATATTATAGTAGATTAAATAGAAGAAAAAGTAGATACTGACCAAAGTGTATATAGCACACGCATAACTTCCACTTCTGACTGATTTCCAGCAACAACAGGAATTTAAGATAGCCATGAAAGGCGAAATAAATAAACAAATAGAAGAGTGTGTATAATCCTGGCAAGTATGTGAAGTACGTTTTGGATTTCTGTTGTTTCCATCTGCCGGCGCTGGAGGAACTAGGCAGATATAATCGATGTTCAGCCTCGATCTCGTCGTCCTACGAACATTTCGTGTTTAAACAAGGGTGAGTTTTCGCTTCGATTCGATTTGTGAATAGTTTCTAAAGGAAATTGCCCAACAGTTGTTAGCAAACAATTCCGCCCTTTCTCTGCTTCATTCCTTTTCATAAAGAAGATACAAAGCCGTTTAGAAAGAGTTATATGATTAGTCGAAACTCAAACAACTATCGACGTATCACTGGCACAGAACTTTATTAGTTTCAAACTAGTTTTAATTATTTTCTCTTTCATTCGTTAATTTCTCAATATTAACTTTATCGACAGAGGCGCGTTAAAGCTTCGTTGGGGGCCTCCAAGTGAAGTGTCGACGTCAAACATTTTTTTTTGGGTGAGAGTCCCTTGTATCCTCGTTTGTTTTTTAATGAGAATTCTAGCAGATTTCGATATTCTTAATACTGTAGTGAGTTTATAAAAGATTGGTTTGGGGCACCTTGTTAGTGGGACCTCAGGTAATTCACCTTTTTGCCCATAGGATAACGTTTAGCCATAAATGTTGATAAATGTTGCTTCTATATCAAATTTTTATACGTTCTATTGATAGAAAAAATCTTTCTTCGTGAGAACGAAGCTTTAAACTTAATTTCTAATATACTTTTATTTATTTATGTTTTAAATTTTATCAGTTAAATTTGGATTATTACACGTGTTAATCCATTTAGNATTCGCCTGTGTATTTAAAAGTATCGCCATCTGACGAGAATTTGTAGAAGTAGAAAGGAATTACCTGTCAGGTATCGCCCCAGGAAGTTTCTTTGTTCGATCGAACGAGGCGGGATGCCTTATACTCTCGATATTGGTAAGAAAAGAAGTTTCTTCAAGCGTCGACCCTTCTTTCAAAATGCCATCGTAACAGATCTTCAGAATGGTAGCTACATCGCTAGTATATTTGCTATTGTAAGTTATACTTTCAACGATTCTACGTTATAACCGTCGTTACTACACATCCGGTTATGACAACTGAGACGTTAGAAATGCAGTTTTTTTTTTCTTTAATTAATTTTATTTTTCTAGTTCGAGAGCGTATTCGTTTTACTCCAGACAGTATTCGATGCTTATATCTTAATCGAAGCAGAACCTGGGACAATTCACTATAGATACTTTGGGATTAACTTTCTGTTTGTTTACAGTGGAAATCGTCACGGTTGATTATTTTTCTTTATTTATAATCTTACAGATTTGATATCGGTTCTATCTAAATAATTTATTTCTATTTTTCAGTAAGGAATATTCTTCTTTTTATATGCGTAGTCACCTTCCTTCTATATCTAAGTCTCTTGGTGACATCCGTCATTCTCATGAATGCGCTCAGAAAGGTAAATATTCATTTTAAAAAAAAATTCACTCAAAGTAATTTAAAACTATTGTTTAACCACCTTCGATCTGTTTATTTAGGAGAAAGAAAAGAAATTTCAATCGTGGTTAACTTGCATTGTAGTTTGTACCGTTTGGACCTTACTCGCCATTACTTTCCGTTCTGTTGCTAATGTAAGAATAAAAATATTATCCGCCATTAATTAAAATTACGATTCGTTTCTTGTTTCACGTATAATATATTGTTTAGTTACTTAATATAATAGTTAATTAATCACTCTTTCCTTACAGTATAAGAATGTTACGATGATATGTTGTATTTTTATTAATACAAGTCTTTATAATTAATAAGAAATGTTGTTATAAAAATCGTAATTTTATAAGAAACTTTTTAAAAGAAAAATTAAAATTTGTGAAGAAATATGAGACGATTTTATTACCTGAATGTATCGATTATTTCATTTGAAAGATGGTTAATTTTATGACTGTGATAAACAGCAAATTACGAGACTATATCCAAGTTATTATCCATTATAACTTTTATACAATATATTAAATAAAATTAATAAGATTATACTATATATAACCTATATATATAACTAATNTTAGAATTCACTTAGAATTTTTACAAATTTACCTACCAGCTGAATGTAAAACTGTACGAACATGAAAAGCTCCAGCAGTTAATACGGTTGTATAGAAAATCTAGAAAAAAATAAATAAAATTGTGAAAATATTTATTAAGATACAGTAAAAGACTTCAAACGACTGCTTAACACCTTCAAAAATTACTTTTTTTAAAAAGTATTAAGCAGGAAACACGTTTTTCTGCCACATTATCGATTTATTTTTTTCAATATTTTCTTATTAACTTAACAAGATATAGTGTCTGTTAGTATACGCTTAATTGTTTAATTAAAAATTTATATTAATCACGGCTTAGATTATAATTTTTTTTATTATTTTGTAAAGAGATTTAATAGCAATTACCGTAAAAATATAATTATACGTTAAGAGGAAAATGCTTATAGAATTAATTAGTTTTTAATGAGTAAGTATTAAGTTAATATCTTAAAAAATACTGCACTGATATAGATTTTTTTTTGGGATGACATTTGGAAGGATTCAAGTTGTATTTTCAAGAAACGTAAGGTGCTTGCGATTGTAATAAAGATAAAATATCACAAAGCAACAGCTGCGGACATTATCAAAATAAACTCTTGCATTATCCATAAAAACAGTCAAGTGTAATAGCTACAAGCCAAGTATTTTTCTACAGTTGCGTGAATTCTTTCAACATTTTTTTTCATTATTTTGTGGTTATTTTTTTTTATTTATCTAGAAGCACGAATCTCTAATCTATTTCTTCTTTAACCAGATAGAAGATACTATATATAGTTAACATTACGATAAAGAATTAATGTTTATTGAAGAAATATACATCGCTTGGTCGGAGAGACCTAACATTAAAGAAAAACTCATTTATTTAAACTAAAATTAGTAATAAGATTTATTGAAGAGGCGTTTCTTAAAGTGCAAAGTATCTTGTAAGAAAATCTCCTTCATTTAAATGAGAATGGGAACGATTTCTATAAAATTTGAAGAGAATCAGCTTCTCACAAGAAGACAGACAAGAAAATGTACGATATTGCTTACAGTTTCTTGTCTCTTTTACAATAAAGAAAAAGACAAGAAATTGAGGGCAATACCTTGCATCTTCTTAAATGCCTAATCAAAAAAGATTGTCGCATAAGTGGCTTTGCACATCAAATGTAAAAGGGAAATACACCGTAGAAACCTTATTATTCATACGATAAAAATTCTAAAGATGTATTCTTATTAATGTGGTACGAATGATAAAAACATATGCATGAAATAAAAGAAGCTGTGTAATAATACTGATATATGCATAATGCAATAGGATAGACGATTTAGAAAAGAATCTAAGCGAATGAATATTAATGGAGGAAAAAAAAAGAAAGATAAATCTGTTGGGATAGAAGTTTGGTGAAGTGCATTATGTAGTGAAACGCTCGGGATCACACATCAATCTCGTATTTTAACCGCGATTCAAGTTACGATAAAACTTTCTTTAACACTTTCAGACCTTACAGTATGGCTGACAGAACAGAAATTAATAACGTTTACAGGTATTATAAATAAAATATTAATAGTGACATCTAGACTCATCGAAAATATTAAACTGAAACGAAGATTTACTATCAGAAACAAGCGTATTTTTCGAATACTTTTTTAAAAATATATATATTTTAATCGATTAAGACGTATGCGAATTCGCACCAAATATTTCAGGCAATTTTATTCGAAAATATACCAGAAAAATGGTGATAAATGTCGAAGAAGATTATCTTCTTGTTTACTGAAAAGATTTCTCGGACGTTATTTTGAATGAGAAAACAGTCAACCGGTTCTTATGCAACTGAAAGAGAATGTCTTCTTCACCTAACAAAAAATTCTACAGAAAAATAATAATAATAGGCCTAATGGACGAAGTTACTATTTTATATATTACATATTTATAATATTTCGTAAATCAGAAAGTAGTGATTAGTGATGATTTGTGCGAGATTCGATCGCATGTTATTGCCTTTTATTCCATTTTATAACGGGGATATTTATAACAAGATAAGATATACCCGATTATTGAAGCGAATGAACGAATTGCAAATATTTGTCGGGTCTCCGATGTCAATCGATTTAAAGAAAAGAAGAAAGAAAAAAATAATAAAAAGTCAAAATAATTCAATCCGTTCATTTCTGATCGCAAAAGGATCGAGTATCAGTTTGGGAATTGAATTATATTCAAAAAAAAAAGAGAGAGAATACCGAAATGTCATATTAAAGAATGGATTTTTAAAGGTAATTGAATTGAATTAAATTTTTACTATTTTTTATTATTATTACTAAAAAATAAATAATCTAACTGTGCGGGTAAACTTATAGTATATAGTCCCAATGTAATAATATAATTGAATTATATAAGTGAAAACTTTTAAAATATAGCATTTGTAAGAATGTTTACGATAAATTATTTCAAAAATGATAAGAAGAAAAGTGTATTTTATGACTCGTTAATAATATTAAGATGTTTTAAGACGAAGAAATAGGATTTGGTCTTGATTGATAAAATCTTCCTTTCAGAAAGATAAATACATTTGTTGGAATCAGAAAATCTTTTTAATATTTCGAGACGTAAGAAAAAAAATAATAATAAATAAAATGCTAAAGCGAAACAATGTTATGAATAATCTTATTTTTTACAGTTCGAACAATTAGATTATTTCGCGTATTATTAATTTTTTTTTCTTCTTTTCCTTTGTGATAATTTGAGTAGAGAAAAGCTGACATTTCTGACGTAACCTACGATAAATTCCATTTTTAAGCAGTTAATGTCAGTCCAATGTCAAATGTTGTGTCTCTTTCTAACAATTCCTTTTTTTATTATTATTTTTTTTTCTTGTTCTTCTTATCACCTGTTATTCCTAAGAGCATTCCTTTCTGTAATTTTTCTCTTGTTTCTTGCACTCGCCTTTAAATAATAATAATAAAAAAATCCTCAAAAATTTTTATTCCCATTTTCAAAAACCTTTATTATCTATTTTTATTCGTTATCCTTTTTATTCTTCGTACCTTAATCGAATTTATTTATTTCTTAAAATTTTATATAATATGATAAATCCGAAAATAGTATTCTTCCAATGCCTTTGTTTGTATTAATACTTTTTTTTGCTTGTTTCTCTAGAAGTAAATATGATTTATTAATAACTGTAATCTTTCTTATTGGAAAATAGTCTGGAATAAATATAAATAAATACAAATTTCTTTAAGAATTCAATAGAAATTCTTCTTCTTCTTCTTCTTCTTAGAAGTATATCTAATTAGTTATATATTTATATTATGTTTAGATATTAGAATAGAAGTATATTATATTTTTCCTTTGACTAAGATATGTTTTAATTGATGTATCATTCAATTAACTTATTTTCTCGGATGTTTATTGTGATTTTAAGCCGCTAGAAAAAAGGTATATCTTCAAATAAAGCTGCGATATTATCCAACTAAGACCTTCCCCATTTAATTAAGACATCGTCCAACTTAACAAATAGGTGGTATTTTCCCGAACTTTGATAGATCTCATCTCCCTGACTCTTCTCTACTTTAAATTATTAACATATTTAGTTTTACCAATATATTTCTTCACTAAATGACGTAAATAATGAATTCGACTAGAGAATTATCCGTTTCTTTACACGTTACACGGAACAGGTGGTATCGAAACGTGGCGATAAAAACACATTAAAACGATAAATATCCTTTAAATTTTCAATAAAATAAAAGAAAAAAATGTAGAAAACAGTTTTAAAAAAGTACACGTCTTATTATTATTATATTATAATAGATTAAATAGAAGAAAAAGTAGATACTGACCAAAGTGTATATAGCACACGCATAACTTCCACTTCTGACTGATTTCCAGCAACAACAGGAATTTAAGATAGCCATGAAAGGCGAAATAAATAAACAAATAGAAGAGTGTGTATAATCCTGGCAAGTATGTGAAGTACGTTTTGGATTTCTGTTGTTTCCATCTGCCGGCGCTGGAGGAACTAGGCAGATATAATCGATGTTCAGCCTCGATCTCGTCGTCCTACGAACATTTCGTGTTTAAACAAGGGTGAGTTTTCGCTTCGATTCGATTTGTGAATAGTTTCTAAAGGAAATTGCCCAACAGTTGTTAGCAAACAATTCCGCCCTTTCTCTGCTTCATTCCTTTTCATAAAGAAGATACAAAGCCGTTTAGAAAGAGTTATATGATTAGTCGAAACTCAAACAACTATCGACGTATCACTGGCACAAAACTTTATTAGTTTCAAACTAGTTTTAATTATTTTCTCTTTCATTCGTTAATTTCTCAATATTAACTTTATCGACAGAGGCGCGTTAAAGCTTCGTTGGGGGCCTCCAAGTGAAGTGTCGACGTCAAACATTTTTTTTTGGGTGAGAGTCCCTTGTATCCTCGTTTGTTTTTTAATGAGAATTCTAGCAGATTTCGATATTCTTAATACTGTAGTGAGTTTATAAAAGATTGGTTTGGGGCACCTTGTTAGTGGGACCTCAGGCAATTCACCTTTTTGCCCATAGGATAACGTTTAGCCATAAATGTTGATAAATGTTGCTTCTATATCAAATTTTTATACGTTCTATTGATAGAAAAAATCTTTCTTCGTGAGAACGAAGCTTTAAACTTAATTTCTAATATACTTTTATTTATTTATGTTTTAAATTTTATCAGTTAAATTTGGATTATTACACGTGTTAATCCATTTAGTTATGATGCATTATAAGAGAAGTAAGCTTGACATTAATAGTAAGGTATATCGAGTTATTGTTTTATAAAGATATACGACCGTGAAAATATTGTTATTTATACCATCCGAACCTATTAAAAAAATTGAAAAATCACATAAAATATTTAGGCCTAATTAAATTTCCCATCTTTGTCTTTCATCTTGTTCGGCCATTATTTTATTTTATTTTTTTTTAACTTTCTTCTTTGTAACAAATTAAAATTTAAATATATAAAACTTTAATAAGACAAAAATTGAAACAAAAGATAAACCACTAGAGCAAATTTTTTTCTTCCTCTTCACCTTTGATGATAGATTTAAGATCCAATTATTTCACAAAGAAGAAATTTATTAATAGGAAACAATGAAGTGAAAAATAAACATGAGAAATAATAATGTATATCTGTGATTTTTTAAAAAATTTATGTAAAGTACTGTACATATCATTATCCAGATAAATAAACGAAATAAAAAGATTAAGAGGTTTGAATTTATGAAAAAATAATTCTTACATTTATCTCCAGATCAAAGAAATTGTACTGAAAAAATTTGTAGGAGGTTTTAAATTAATTATATTTAATTAACTGAGAGAGCCATCAGAATTGTTAATAAGCTTAATTAGAGGTGATTTTTCAAGTGTTATCTGTTAGAATAGTTGTAATTGGCAATCCAGAAACGATGACTACAAATTCAGGAAATTTATTTAACAATCAACAAGGTTAATGTCTATTTAAAAACATCTAGAAAACAAAAGATATTTATAAGATTTTTTTTGTGTGTGTGTGTGTTTTAATGATAAACATTCGTATATTTTATTTTATAAATCCCAAAAGAATTGATTCTAATTTATTCTACGTGTATTACACAAGAAGAAATTTAAAAGTTTTTATTTAGAAAAATAATTAAGACCCGAGGGATGCGGGATGTCTTTGATTAAATGATAATATTTCCAATTAGAAATTCTAACAAGACTTTACAATTGTACTTCTTCTGGTACCATCAACTGTACCATTAGCACGAGTATTAAGTGGCTAAACGATTTTGTCTGTTGTAACTCTTCACTTGCTAAATTAATCTCGTTGTTCGGTTCTTTGTAATTTCATCAACGATAACTTCATACAACGACCTAATTTCTCACATAGCGCTCCTTTTGAAGTTTTGCATTATCTCCTTTACAGATTACGTGTAATTAAAACTCTTAACGGAACTTTCAATTGGAACTATTCTTTTATTTAGTTATGTCTATTATATATTTTTCTATTGTTTCTTAGTTCCGTAACAAGGATTTTCGATATTATAAAATACTAAAAAAATATTTCATTCAATGATAAAATGTTTGATTTTTGTTTATATTTGTCATTATTTAAAAAGGTGATTTAAAGGAATTTCTGTAAGCTCTCAACATAAAATCTACAGAAGAAAAGTATAAACTGTTATAACTTTTTAATCAAATAATTAATTTTCTTAATTACATTAAAAAGAATATTTCTTGGAAACAAATCTTATTTAAATCTCATAATTATGTATTTTAATCAATTGATAGTATTAATTGATTATAGTATTTAGTTTATACTATACTATTCTAGGCTATAACAGTGTTAGTATTAATTTAGGCATATTATATTGATACTAACTAATACTGTTATATAGTATCAATATAACAATGTGATGCATATAGTTGAACATGAGCATACCAACATAGGAGTCGAGGAGCATAAAGCAAATTCAGATACAGAAAGCAGAAAGATGAACAAATTATCAATGAAAAAAAAACCATTTTAATTTGGTTGGAAATGAAAGATTTCAATATAATTATATTTATTTATTTTGACATTGATGATAAATATCATAAAAGTAATGATTAGTTTTTTAAATGTTTATATTTAAAAATAATATCTGTGTGAATTATAAAATAAATCATTCACGAAACCATAATAAATGAAAATATTTTAATATAAAAATAAACCATTATATTAAATAAAGAATTGTACTTGATAGGCTATTTAATATGTGAATTGTATGAATTAAAGTAAACGTGAATATTTTGACAATTGATATTGTGTGTAGGTGAATAATTTTATTTTTATGTTTTTGCAGATAAACACGTTGTTATCTTTTCTACTTTATAATATTCGATTGCGATTTATATTTAGGAATTTCGGTCTTATGTCGAATGATAATGTCAACAAAGATATTATTAGAGGAGGAAAAAAATTGGACGATTGTGTGGAATATCACTATACTTTGAAGGATAAAAAAATACAAAGATTAGTTCCTTTGAGACATTTATTACTTTTCTGTGCAGATCTACAATATCAAGTTCTCGAGGAAAAATAAAAGATGCTGAAATATCTGATATATAAATACAAGTTTGACGAAATTGCCTGTATATGAAAGTACTTACTTCATTAAAGTTTTATTTTTTATTTATATAATTAAACCAGGAAGTCATATAATAAATTGTTCGTCTATAATTTCTTTTATTTTATATACATAAAATAAATCATTTAAAATTATATTATCTATGAATTTTAATGTACTTTATAAATCATATATGAAAAATTCAATTTGAAAAAGTACGAAAAATAAAAATGTTTAACACAATTTTTAGTTGTAGCAGGAAAAAACTTTTCGTTTTAGAATCAAAATTTATTTATTCAATAAATAAAGAAAGAAAAGGAAAGAAACGAAAAGTTTTAAATTGTATAAATATTAAAATTCAAAGAGAAACTTTTAACGTATTATAGAATAGAAAGGTTAAATTGAAAATAATAAATTTTTGGATTCGCCTGTGTATTTAAAAGTATCGCCATCTGACGAGAATTTGTAGAAGTAGAAAGGAATTACCTGTCAGGTATCGCCCCAGGAAGTTTCTTTGTTCGATCGAACGAGGCGGGATGCCTTATACTCTCGATATTGGTAAGAAAAGAAGTTTCTTCAAGCGTCGACCCTTCTTTCAAAATGCCATCGTAACAGATCTTCAGAATGGTAGCTACATCGCTAGTATATTTGCTATTGTAAGTTATACTTTCAACGATTCTACGTTATAACCGTCGTTACTACACATCCGGTTATGACAACTGAGACGTTAGAAATGCAGTTTTTTTTTTCTTTAATTAATTTTATTTTTCTAGTTCGAGAGCGTATTCGTTTTACTCCAGACAGTATTCGATGCTTATATCTTAATCGAAGCAGAACCTGGGACAATTCACTATAGATACTTTGGGATTAACTTTCTGTTTGTTTACAGTGGAAATCGTCACGGTTGATTATTTTTCTTTATTTATAATCTTACAGATTTGATATCGGTTCTATCTAAATAATTTATTTCTATTTTTCAGTAAGGAATATTCTTCTTTTTATATGCGTAGTCACCTTCCTTCTATATCTAAGTCTCTTGGTGACATCCGTCATTCTCATGAATGCGCTCAGAAAGGTAAATATTCATTTTAAAAAAAAATTCACTCAAAGTAATTTAAAACTATTGTTTAACCACCTTCGATCTGTTTATTTAGGAGAAAGAAAAGAAATTTCAATCGTGGTTAACTTGCATTGTAGTTTGTACCGTTTGGACCTTACTCGCCATTACTTTCCGTTCTGTTGCTAATGTAAGAATAAAAATATTATCCGCCATTAATTAAAATTACGATTCGTTTCTTGTTTCACGTATAATATATTGTTTAGTTACTTAATATAATAGTTAATTAATCACTCTTTCCTTACAGTATAAGAATGTTACGATGATATGTTGTATTTTTATTAATACAAGTCTTTATAATTAATAAGAAATGTTGTTATAAAAATCGTAATTTTATAAGAAACTTTTTAAAAGAAAAATTAAAATTTGTGAAGAAATATGAGACGATTTTATTACCTGAATGTATCGATTATTTCATTTGAAAGATGGTTAATTTTATGACTGTGATAAACAGCAAATTACGAGACTATATCCAAGTTATTATCCATTATAACTTTTATACAATATATTAAATAAAATTAATAAGATTATACTATATATAACCTATATATATAACTAATTTTTCACTATAATTCTCAAATAATTTTTAAAAGTGAGTTATAACAAGAAACCATTATGAAAAATTATTCTTGTCATAGAAAAAAGAAAATGATCATAATAATTTACTAGGCTAGCAACTATTAATATTATTATTATTTATATCATAATGAATCAAAATTAATATAAATTAATATTATTTCAGGATCTATATTATAGTTATCATCAAGCAATTTTGGTTATCTTCATAATTATCCTGATTTTAAATGTAAGTCTTTTTAGTACTTTTTTCTAGCAATAAAAAGTAAAAATTAAAAGTCACTTTTCGTGTTGATTTCAATAATAAAGGTAGCAAAATACATTGTAAACACTTTTTTTTTTAAATTTTATAAATGTTTGATGTAAAGAAAGATTCGCAATTTTTTCTAGACTTTCTTTGGATTGGTTGTCTACTCAAATTATCAAGAATTGGAAGATATAACTAGATTAGAAGATATGGCGAGACTCAAGGTAGTAATATAATTTTCAAGCTTGCGTTTTATTTTCGGGAAACTTTTTGAAATTAACTCTGTTTTATTTTCATTCAGACGAGTACCTTCAGTAGTTTGTCAACATCCCGCAGTCTGTCTCATTGCTCCATTGATATTCTAAAGACATCACTCACTACCCCATCCATGGGCTCCACTTCAACAGCATCTGTGTAAATCCATTCATTTCCACAGTGAATAATAACTGACTAGAAGCCTTTTTTTTTTCTTTCTTCTTTCTTTTATCAATGCTAAATATTTTTTGAAATTTTTGTATGTAAGAATTTTTTAAAATATTTTTTGTGCTTATTGTTAGACTTAAGCACTAGAATTTATACACGTTTTTATATATTAAAAACCTTTTAAAAAGCTGTTTATTTTCCTATTGAACTATTTTTTAAAATAAAATGCTAATACAAATTGTAAAATAATTGGACTAATTCAAATAAATTAAAAATGAACTATAAATTTAAAAATATTAAAAATTAATTTCATTTATTTTTATTAATTAATAAAACAGTTATTAATTTAAAGTTTATCTTGTTAGAATAATCTCTGAGTAAGGAAGCTTATTTTGTTCGATAAGAATGAAAATCTGGAAATAACTAAATGAAATATAATAGTTTTCATTGAAGTCAATATTTTCTTTAGTACTTTAAAAATGTCAGAAAATTCTATACTTTCACTGAATAAATTCAATTAACCATTAGAATATTTGCTATAGTTAGAAGAGAGAAGTATTTATTATAAAATTATTCAGAATGTCTAGAATAGAATAGAAAAAGAAGATCGTCCATAAATTACTTAACGCTATTTCTATACTTTTCAAGTATCATTCCATTCTCCTGTAATCCTCTATAACATAAAATCCACCTACAAAATTAAATTTTTACTTAATGCCTATCCTCGATTAACCATCTTAATTCTATTAAGGAATAATACCCAGCATGGGGTATCGAATGTTACGTTATTTTGTTAATTACATATATAAAGCAGCTAAGTAAACGGAAACGGCTTTACTATGCAACACTTCAGAAACAAAAATAAATCATTCTGTACCAAAGGATTGAGATCTTATCATTACGTGACGTTTTTGTAAACACCCCTCTCACTTCTTACAACGTGTCCAACCATTTCTGCTTTACGTAATTTATAAACAACCCACTTCAAAGTACACTCGTAAAATAATATTCTTCTATATCTTGTCGTAGCAGTCAACGAATCGTTATATTCGAGACGTTCTAGTAAATAAATTGCGTGTGCTTCACCACAGATTTATCCTCTTGTAATTTGTTAGGTAATTTGGATTGATATCTGTAATAACGTATGCCTATTGCTGAACGAGTCAGGAGCAATTTATAACAGATTAATATAATAATTAAATATATTAAATAACATTTTAATTCAAACATTTTTCTCTGAACGGAGTTAGATGACCGGAACGATTCTATTACAGGGGAAAGACACTACTAAAAAATTAAGAACACTGACAAAAAATTGCAGCCCAGTATTGTGAAGATGTCACAATAAAAAATTGTTTATTTGTAATTTAGGATTTTTTTTTAAAATCAATATTATATAACTATTAAAATTTGATTAATTTATATTTATTTAAAATATCGGATTCTAAATTGATACGGATAAAGAGTTATTTCTTAACATATATATATCATTTCTTTGATAAACTGCAATGGTTTTCTCAAGGTTTGTTTACCAGGATATATGTATATTTTTGCCTTTTTCTTTATAATGTTATTGGAAAATAGCATATAAAGAAGGTATTTGACTTGTGCATTCCATATCATAAATTAAATGCATCTAGCTTTTGTACTTTTTAATTCGCTTCAGTAGCTTCTTGAAATGAAAGTCTGCATTTTTATTGATTAAATTTGCAACAACTGACGTCTGTCGGATTTCTGAACTACGGTCCAATTCTTATCGTTGCACGGTTGAAGTTTATTTCCCTTCTTTACTCTTCCTTCGACAGAAAGAGGACCATTATCTACTTCTATTTACAAAAATACCGGAAAGAAATGAGTTCAACTAAAAAGTTGAACTCATTTCTGGTAGATGTAAAGCCGAATTAGACCATAGAATATTCAAGAACTATAGCTTATAACTTATATGTAACTTAAATTAATATATATAAATTTTCTATAATCTATATATTAAAAATAAAAAAAAAGAAAGAAACTTACTTATATATCTGCATATATATCAGATAAAGCTGGAAATGAAAAATAGACTAGAAATTTACATATTTATTATTCAGTAAAATTTTCTTCACCATCATAAATTAGAAATGGAAATCAAAACATACAATTTCCATTTATAATTTATTTAATAATTTAAATTATAAAAATTTGTTGAGATGTAGTCTAGTAAATAAATCTTTCCCTGTAGGCCTATATTTTAAATGATAAAAAAAAAACAGAAAAAAGAACAGATTCTAAGGTTAAAATATTTGGAATAAAATGCTGAAAAAATAAATAAAAGTTAGATGTTAGCAACAGAACTTATTTAAATTTCATTATTTTTATGTAATTTTTTTTTTCTTCTAAATTTAGTTGACTTGATCAGAACATTTATCGACTGCAATTAAATAAATTTATATTTATTTATATTTAAAATACTTTAGAAAATTACAATTTTAAAGTAAGTTATAGGCATTAGTGATAGTTTACACAAAATATATTTGTTTTAATGTAAAACTTTTGTATATAAATGATAGAAAATCTCTTTTATTTTATTATTTTTTTAAATTTAAATTTGTAGAATTTTTGGCCATTTCGTGGATAAAATTTATTCCGAAAATTTCGTCGTTTCAGCTATAATAGATTTTATCAAAAGCGCATAAACAAACAGAAATTCGAAGCATAATACATTTTTTTTTTTTTTTCTTCGATAAAAACGCTTAAAGTGAAATATTTGTATTTTAAAGTTTTTATTTACAATTTGTATTTTAAAAATATTGTTTTTGAATATATTTCGATTTTATACAAAAGTGAATTTATAAAAATAAAAATAAAAATATCGTTCAATCGAATGTTATGTACAGTACTTTAACTACATAATAATCCATCTAGTTAGTTTATAATTTTTATATTAAATAAAAACATAGTAAATATTTTCAAGAAAAACTTCTTTATCCTCTTAATTTTTATTTTTATATTTTTCTGAAAGTAAAAAAAAAAATGGATGAGAAAAATAACTGAATGGAACGTAAAAATGTAATTTAATCAAAATAAAAATATCATTTTATTTATTTATTTTGAATAAAATCGAAGAATTTAATCGATTTATCTGTATGGAATCAATTGATAAAATATAAAATAAATTGAAGAAAAAATATAATTTTAATTTCTTTCTTGGAAAGACTAAAGCTTTTCCCTTGGTTATTTCAATGATATTTAGTAGTGTAATCAAGAACCTAGAGAATCCATGCTCCTTCCAAGACCTTTATAAATAAATTAGGAAAATAAGTAAAAATTTGAATGTGATAAACTTACTTATACATATGTATATACAACATCTAACAGTTTATTCTTCATCCACAAAGAATGTGGCTACATCCACAGCATAGTATAGGGATTTAAGTTTACATGTTTTTAATAGAGACCAGATATGGAAACCTTGGAGGCAGGAGGCTCGATTCAAACTATACACGAACATCCGATTCAAATTGAAAATCATGTTATTTCAATTCAAAAATTCTCTCATGAAAGGTGTTAAATAGATGACCGACACGACTCTATTGTTAAAATTTCGGAAATCCAAGTCACGTAGAGAGAGATTAGCAGACCGTTTGGTTTGAGTCTCATATAAAGGTCTCAAAATTTAGTTTTTTTTTTTTAAAAAAACAGCATAGGAAAGTGATATAAATTATTTTTATATGAAGTAAAATCTGTTTTTATTTGTTTCTTTTTCATTTTGTTTATGTTTTTACGCTTTCGGAAAGAGAGAGAAAATTTTATGTTTGTGACTAATCCAGGCCTCATTTCTCTTCTCTGTAAGCCATTGTTTAAATCTATTTTGATCAGATATATTCTAGAACATCACCAAAAACAAAAAAAAAAGTTTATTTCCTGTGTTATTTAATAAAACAAACAAATATATTCTTCTCTTAACATTCATTTATATCCATTTAATTTTAGCTGTCGTTCTCAGCTCATGCATTATATTAAATTTTTAGTTGATTTCCTCATAAAAAAAGTCCGAATTCGACAAATTGATTTACAGTAAACTTTTTAATATTTTCTAAAAGTTATTTTAGCAATTCAAATCTCTTTTAATAATTCTTTTTTTTTTTTTTTGCAAACTGATAAAGAGCTACCACACACGTCTACTCACATACAGATATAAAAATATAAATTTTGTATATATAAATGTGTATAATTAATAAATTGAGTTCATTATATATTATATATAAATAAACGGATAGTCTATAAATTATCAATAATGATATATACATTGTTGATAATGGATAGACGAAGTATATAAGTATAAACACATATAGCGTATATATATAAGAGATAACCAAAATAGAAGAACTATTATCGAAATAATTTATTTGTGCTTGGAAGTTATCCTCTTAGTCGACTTGTAAATAGGAGTAAACTACTTCCAATCATCTAATTCAGACTTCTCAGAATAGGATATTAATGAACTGTGATTTGCTTCAATCCGTTTTACTTTGTTGTATTTTACTTATTGATTTATAAGTGCAATACAACAAGTTACATTATAACAAAGTGTATATTTTAGTCAATAAAAAAATAATATGTAAAATTTTGGAAAATTATCCAAAGTTAACTAACCTAGTTTGTTGTATATTCCTGTTTAATAATTTAACTGCAACGATTCAGTAGTTAGATGATAATTTCTATAATTAATTACAACCATACATTAAATATTTAGCAACAGAAACATTTTTATTGATAAATTTTTAAAGAAAATTACAAATACCGAATTGATAACTCAATTATTTTTAATTTTATTTTAGTTATTACATTTTAATGCAATTTTAAAACTAAGTTAAATTAAGTAAATTTTGAAATTATAATTTTATAAATATCGATCGAGTTTGTATTGAATTATTAAAATCAGAAAATGGTCGTAAGAGGAATAAATTAAAATCCAATTTATAATATAACTGCACAACAGCAACCGAGCAGAACAAACAAGAAGATAATACCGATGAAGATGTATACGGTGTTCAGGATCCAAAAAGAAAATAAGTATAACATCTTATCACAATATAAGCCACGAGAAGAATCATAATTTGGTGGATAAATACGATAAACCCAAACGCATGCTATCAAAGTAAATGTTTAAAATTAATTAATATTTTCTTTACTATGAATTTATATAATTTTATTTAGATTCAAATGTTTTAAAATGAAATGAATGCGTTTCAAGTTATATAGAACTCACCGGCAATGAAGCTGATGAATGATAAAATATTGATCATCATGGTAAGTAAACCAATTCCTGTGAATCGAGTCGGTAGACTGAAATCCCAAATGTTCTTAATTCTATGAACTAAGTGAAAGACATTACTTAACATTCCTAACGATCCCATAATGATGATAACAATTGGGATAATGGGCTGAAGAGGGCATTCTTTTATTCGTATGGCTCCTGTAAAGATATGTAATTATTGTTGAATACAAACATAGTTACAAAATATTTTTTTTTTCACTCAAGATGCTCTTGAAAACACCTAAATCATTGACTGTTTATGATACTGTTTCTGATAATGGTGAAATTTTCTTACCTATGATAATCATGGCGAGTGGAATGGTCAGAGTAAAAAACAATATGATTGTCCAAATACCTAAAAGTTTTAAATGTATATATATTTTTTTCCGTTTTAAATTCAATTATTGTAGTAAAAAAATCAATAAAGTTTAATCATAAATTTAAATATTAATATATGCCATTAAATATAAATACGATTGACTTAAAGAATCATTAAATCATATTTGAAAGAGGTTTTTTTCCCCTGATGTTTTCCCCTCTTCTTTTGCATGTATATACAGTAAAATCTGTGTAAACTGGAATCGCACGATACCGAATATTTTTTTTCTGATTTGGCAGCTTTTCTTTTTGAATAGGTTCTTTTATTAACATGGAAAATCGCTCCGTTTCGAAGACACTTTCCGTTTAGGCAGGTTTCTTTTTTTATTCAAGTTCCGTTTTAGACAGGTATTACTATATAGTGAAATCTCTCTTAACGAAAACCTATCCATAATTTTTGTGGTTTGGTATGAAAAGGTACTGTATTACAGTATAATAATGTCCGTAATGGATACGATTCATTACGGTGACGGACACATGAAATGCACTACTGTTGATGTCTCGACTTTTTTTTAGGACATGGTAGAATCTCGTCGAATCGACTTCCTTGTTTGAACACTGGAATTACTGTGGTTACAGTCAAATCGATTCCGAAAACTCAATACTGTATTTCCTGTTGAATTCTTAAAATCAATTTGTTTGCACAATCTTTTATGACAATAAAATTTTTGTTTGCTAACTTCCCTTATCTTCTAGTGATTTGCTTAGTTTTTCTGTTCACGTCAGTTCGCAGAAATCACGTGCATCTTATAACCATAATTAAAAGAAACATTTTTGATGCAATGTGTCATATCAATAAAAAATTGTTAGCCGAAAATTGTTCTACGACATTAATTTAAGTCATATCTATTGTCTTGATAACCAATCGGCGATACGAACAGTCGCATTTATTGGTCGAACACATCATAAGCAAGATGACGGTCTTCCCTACAAGTTACTGACTCTAATCTGGATTGATTGTTCGACTTTGTCAGCGTTTCCAGCGATGCTCGAAACGCTGACAAAGCAAATCAATGTCATGGATTTCAAGTGCTTGGAGACAGATTCTGGCTTCAAATATTTTCCAAAGCCGGATTTCTTTCCAGCATTGAAAAAGCTATTGCGAATGCTATGGAGACAATACAATCTCACGAGTGCAGAAGGATTTACCATCAATGTAAACCATTATGCAACATAGATTCTAACATTCCAATTGAGTGCACAAACCAAGATACAATAACAATCCTTTGGCCACTTTCTGAAATTTAAGAAAGGGAGAATAAAAATGATTATGATAAAGACAACAACGACAGCGATGGTTTCACAACCGAAATAACACCTACTACAGATAAAACCATACAGACAGGAAGGGTAGTCGAAAGGATGGTATGAGGTCAGGGGATAAAGAGGGATCCTTCGCACGTTTTATTTAAGTTTTCTTCGGGCCAAGGGGGAAAAAATCCCCAAATCCTCTCCCTCAACAGTTCTTCAGACAGGCCATTGACTGCGTGAACAAATTCAAGCAGTTTTACACCAATAGAAAACATGCAGACAGTGCAAATCTAACATAATATTTGATTATGCATAGAGAGAAGCAGATTGCTACATAAAAAACAAACTTAATTTTAAATATACAAACTTACATTTAAATACAATAAATAAAATAAAATATAAATTCATTTAAGTAGAATGAAAATAGTAAATATATAAATAAACTTCTTAAAGAACTTTTCCTATTTAACATCAGAGTTAACATCGAGTAAACTTCATTTAAAATTCTCGTGTCTTTGATCTTTTTCATTATTTATCGTATTGAAAAATCTTATACGTGTCTAGTTTAAATAAAGCTTATATCTACATTCAAGTGATTTAGTCAATAATATATTGTCTATATTTACTTGCAGTATGTTGCATAAGTTTATGTACAATATATATTTTTTTTATTTATTTAAAATAGTAAATTTAAAATTTAAATATTTATAAATTAAACTACTGCAATTTACTATTTAAAAAAAAATTATAATTATATATAAATTAAAAATTTACAATGTCCAAACATAAGCAGCAGGACACCTCTCGTTAGATCTATATAACTAGAAGATTCTTCTTTCAAATGGATGATTCTACGACGAAAAGAAAGTCCCGAACTGCCATTTTCTAAATAATAAATATATAATTTTAAAAATATAATCATATTTTAACCCTTAGAAAAATATTATTATTAATGTTAATAATTCTTAAAATGAGAATAATTCGAATTATGATTAATTTCTTCAATTTTTCTTTTTTTCCGAAGAAAAATTTGGAAAAATATACTCCATTTCTTTTCTTTTCAAAAAATGAATTCAGATTATTTATTCTGCGATTAATTTTTATTGTATGAACAAACGTTCTCGACAATTTCAATTGCTATTTTCGGTTTCCACAACTCAAACCGAAATTACATGTACTGATACAATAATAAATATTGATAAGAAATAAAACAAATACTGATACTGGAAAACAAGGTAGGCTATGTATTTTTTAAGAAAGAAAATATATATATATATATATTTTAAACTTTAATTTATAATTTTAAATCATAATTATAACTTTCAATTTAATAACAGAAAGTAACTTGAATCTCTCAATTTCCATATTCAATACATTTTTTTTTTTTTCTTTCTTCTTCTTCTTTTCTTTTGCTGCGGGCACTAACTTGTAAGAGGGCCTTTTAATTATACTCATCACGAGTTCGGCAAGGCCAACAATGGGGAAGAGAACCAACATATCCTGGTCTCGCCACTCATAAAAAAAATTGCTGGGGTTTGTTCGGCCCGATATAATCCAGGATTCCCCAGAGCCGTAAGCTGGCTTCAGCGTATTTAATTTTTCTATCAAGTACGGGTTTATATCTATATACTGTATATATAATCGAGACGGGTTGATAATAATAATAATAATAAGCGCAGAGCTCAAACGGTTAGGAGTTGAAAGTTGAAATTTGGTACACAGTTAGGGTACATCACGAGAACGCACACTAAGAAGAGATTTTTCGAAATTCCACCCCCCCTCCGCGGGGAAGAGAGACAGAATTAAGGCTTCAACAATGGAAGTGTTAAGTAACAATGGAAGTTTCAACAATGGAACTGTTAACAATGGAAGTGTTCAGTAACAATGGAAATGTCAAGAGAAAGCAACGTGCAAGATTTACAGGCACATATGAGGTTTTTGCGAGAAATCGAACATTTTTAGACCCACCTAAAAATTTTTTAATTAGTCTGAAAACAGGGGAACCTAATTCTTTCATTCTGTGAAAATGGGTAAGATTGGTTGTAATGTAATAATTTTAATCTTCGCTATCGTTAATTTTTGCCCGAGCAACGCCGGGCTTATCTGCTAGTAATTTTATATAATTATTTTAAAATATATAACTTAAAATTATTTCTGATATATTAATTTAAATAATCAAATAAGAAAATGTTTACCGTCGGGAGGAGAATTGTCGGTTGTTCCGTATCCATGTGGATGACTAGTATGCTATTTAAAAAAATATTTTTATACTTACTAAGATTAAAAAATAAATAAATAAAACTTAGATATATGTTATTATTATTATATAAGAAAATATTTTTAATTAGCCTAAACATTATACAGTATAATAATGATAAATAATTAACGAGCGCAGAGATTTATATAAATAAATTAATTAAATTTTCGCACGTCATCAAAAAGAGATAAATAAGCGAATCTATTTACAAACTCGTATAGATAGATAATGAATTTATTAATAAGAATCATTTATATAAAATTTTAATGATAATTTATCGCTTTATGACATTCAGAATTAACTTATTGTTTATCCATTAATTATAACGCCGTCACCTTTTTTAATTATGCACACTTATAGAATTATTATACGATAATTCTATAATAATAGAGATATTTTATATATATATATATATATATAAAGATAAATATACAACAAGAATATTGATCTAAAATATAAGGATGCTTATATTAAACGAGGGAAACTTATTTTTTATATAACAGAGATATTAACGTAGGAAATTTAAAAAACAAATTGTTTGTTATAACATAGGCTATATGCATTAAAGCTAAGTTTTAATTTTGATTTGTATTAAAATCATTGTTATATAAACACAGAACCTTCCAGCGCCATCTGCGAATAGTTAAACGTATTAATCATTATTTAGTAAATTAGATTTTATTTTATTTTTTTTATTTTTAATGATACGTTATACTGATACCGATTGTATATACGTAATTAAATACTTCAGATAATTACGTTAAGAAAAATTAGTATAAAAATTAATAATTATATGAAAATACATCTAAACACGATGGGTAATAAATAAATAAATATGTATATAATAATTAAATAATAAAAGTATTTTAAAAACAATAAAGAAACTCACCCGATCTGGTTCACATACTAAATCCTGTGTACTTGTAGAAGTCATTCTTCCTATAAATGGCTTCTATCTGGCATGTAGTGCACAGCTGCGTACATAAACATACATTTTGTAAATCTCCAATTAAATATATTATGATATATAATATTTTAAAAATATAAAAGAATAAAGGATGCCCTACATTACTTGATGAATATATATATATATATTTTTTTTCGAGATTATTATATATGTCGTTTCATCGAAATATAACAGTACAAGGTTATTTATGTTAGTCTCTTCAACACACACCTGTTGAATGGGATGGCGTCATCTTTCATTCCTGTAAAGCAATCAATAACTAATCACTTTTAACCTCGATCAATATAAAGTTTAAATATAATTATGCATAATAAAAATTATTTGATGTTTGTATAAATATAGAAAAAAGAACTAAAATTATAAATGACGTGTTATTATTTCAATTAAATGTTTTTGTTTACTTCAATTTTTTTTTATTTTCGTTGGAAAATGTGAATGTGAAAATAAATTTTCAATATACTTTAATTAAAAAGTGAGTATAATAAATACTTTATAACTTCCGTAGGAAGTTTTGATAATTATTAATAATAAAAGTATTTTAAAAAATGCTTATGTAGCAAATATATCTCTCCTTTTTTTATTCATTTCACTTCTCTCTCGAGATAAGAGGATATCAACTTATCTGATCGTTTCTATTGTTATTGTCTCTTTTTTTTAACTCAAATATTATCAAAACTCGGTCACGTCTTGAGTTGTTTATCGATTCTTCTTTACGAATTTTTGGCAAGTTACAGATAAAATAGGGTTTGAATTTTGGAATAGTTTCAAGGTCAATTTTGATGTCGGCGCAATTTTTTAATGATTAAATTTATTCTGGTTCCCTTTTAATATATTAAATTGATTACCTGTAGGATTATCATGTTAACACCTAAGCGAGGAAAGAGTAATTAATCACCTAAAATGAAATTTTAAGGCTCAAACTTCTTATCTGTTTATCTAAGTTATCGTCACGTCCAATGGGAAAATGTAGAATTCGTTATAAATTAATGAAACTTTGTTTCCATTATAAATTAAAATATAAACAAAAACGCTTTTCTAAATCTATTTTTAAACGAATTTATTGAATTTAAACATATTAGCAACTACTTCAATCAATGTTAAATCTAGTATAAATATTGGCTTCTCTATACATAAACAACTTTCTATTTTTTTTTTCTTTAAAGATATAAATCTACGTCCAAAAAAAAAATATTTAATAGAATGAATTATTTATGGAATTAAGATTAAAATTCAATTTATTTTTTCTATGTTTTATTCAGTTATATTATTTTATTTTTACTAAATCTTTTCAGATTCGATATGATCTCTGCAATGCCAGCAGTTGCAGTGAGGAGGGAGAGGAAGAAGAGTAAATCTCAAAGGGCAGGAACCAAGGGGGGAAGGCAAGGTAGCCTCAGCACAATTAGCAGCACGGGAGCTCAAGCATCGTACGGATCACGAACTCGTGAGTTTTTTAGACGTGATAAAAAGAATTTACGTATTTTAGTGTACGGAGGGACTGTTCTGATGGGTTCTGGACTTATTTTAGTATTTATTGGAGTAGGAACAAACGCTTCCGCATTTCAATCAGTCGGTTTGTTATTCATTGGGCTTGGAAGTTTACTGTGCCTCATCAAAATATTTTGTGGTAATTCTCCAAGAGAGGGACGTGACGACAGGAAACGTCAGCAAGAAGGATCATCTACGGTCTCACCTTCATACCTTTCACCTGTGCTAATAGAAAACACGGATCCACCGGTTGTTATGGTTCAAACTCTACCTTTATCCGATGTGGAAGAGGGGGATAGAGAATCGATTGTGGCAAATAATTCTCCAACGGTTAAAAACACAGTGCCTGAGATGCAAGTACTCATAACTGATAACTTAAAAGAACGTTACTGAACTTAACTCGAAAGATTTTTATGACAATATATATCTATATATATATACATTGAAGAGAAAAAAAATCATAAATAATAATTTAAATTTATAAGAAAAAAAAATACATCAAGTTGAATCGATAAATGTACAAAATAATCGGATTTTTGTGATTGACAAGAAGCCTTCTTTAATATGTCTTTCTATAATTATGTATCGAATATTTAATAATCTCATTTGAGATGTTATTAATTTATTATTAACATGAGCATTTGTAAAATCATAATTCAGCATCAAAAAATACAAATATATATATATATATTACATGTGTATATATATATATATTAGAAAGTGCTTCAGTGCCTTCACCTCATAAATCTTTGCAAAGGGATTTTGTTCCAAGCAAAGGGAACTTTTTGTACTTTTATCTCTCTCTCTCTCTCTCTCTCCTTTTCTTTATTTTCTCCAATTTTTTTATTTAGTGCTGAAGCAGTATAAACATTATCTCGACATATGCGAACAAATTTCGTGACAGGACAGACAAAATACATTACATTACGCACATTAACGACACACGACGAGTTTCATGTTTAAAAAAATAATAATAATAAATGAAAAAAACTTCGTCTGAAAGGAAAAAGATCTATCTGAAAACAAAGAAAAAGTAGATAATAATATAAAATAACCTTCTATCGTGCAAAGAAGTACTTAAGAAACTCTCTAAAGCAATTTAAATAGGGAAGAAAAAAAGATGGAGAAGCTTCGAATCGTCTCTTAAAACACTATTATTATTATTATTAATTTTTTCTTTGAAAATATATTCTAATTGCAGATTATACTATGGAGATTTACACTTATTATACAGTATTAAGCATTTAAAAATGTTTAATTTAAAGCATTATAAAGCCAAATAATTAAACAAGAAGATATCTTCCTCGTATGTGTTCAAGGTGCTAAATGTGAAAGGTTTCTTAAATGCAGTGTACAGTAAAAAGAAATTCGCTTTTGTTTCGCTCTATTTTAGAGCATACGTTCTATATCAGGACTATGCAGACAAATTTTTATTGAANTTACGAATTTGCTGATTTGCACTTGGCGAATTACGATACTGTTTATGTACGTGATGGAGTGCATAACTTTTTTTTTCTACAACGTCTCACCCGGCACAGTGCCCGTAAACTCTTAAATATATTTTACGTAGTAATAAAAAACTTGACATGCGTATTTATAAATAATTTATATTCAAATTACATCGTTCCTATGACCAAGGGCGGCGTAAGGCATGGACGACGTGGGCCACCGCCTATTCCTCGCGGTCCGAAGGGCCTCGCGCTTCGAAGGTTTATGCATTACTTAAAAGCCGCGAACGCGACGAAAAAATTTTACTCGTCATAAAACGATAAATAGTTTGTCAAATTTTTATTCATAAAAATGCAGTTTAAACTGCTTTTTATTTTATAAAATCCGTCTTCTTGCGCCACCAGAGGGCCTTTTAAACAATATGTAGTCTGTTAGCGTTGGTCAGTAGTAGTCCAAATTCAATACGAACGTTTGTTTCTTGAAAATTTGATCACGAGATAAATACAGTATTTACTTTTAATGTTACCGATATGTCATCGAAAAGAAAACGTGTTGTATTATCATTAATAGTCAAATTAAAGTATTTGTTTCGATTATCCGGATTTTTCCTTATCCAGACTACCTTCATTCCCAATTAGTCCGGATAATCGAGGTTCTACTGTATTTATGTAATATTTTACCTAAACCTACACTACAGTATTATAAGCAATATATTAATATTCATCTTACTTTAATTTTATTCTAACATCAACTGTAAAGTATACACATTGATTAAATAGACGATTATAACTTTACTCAATTCATATAATAATCTATCTTTAGATGATTTGATATATTGTATGTACAGATTGATATAATTTGAATTGTCTAAACTCAGAGATAATTTTTAAGCTTTCATCAACGGCTGTCGTACAATTTTCTACGTCAGATATCATTTCATTATCTCTGAAATATTGCAGATAAATACAGTTCAGTAAGAGAAAGATGCTAACATTCTCTTTCCTCTGCTAAAACCAATTAATTATAATTAAATTAAATAGTACAATTGATGTTTATTCGCATTACTTGTAATGCGAATAAACATCAATTGTAAACAAACTAAAAATTGTAAACTTGACTTTCATGAGAATTTATCTTAAAGCAGCTAAGGTGTTTTTACTCTATTCGTCTTCTGGGTATTAACAGAGACTTTTTATCAAGTTCCTCGTGGATCGCGAATTTGGCTAGACCCAAAATGTGCCTGGCCGAATCCACGATGTTAAAGGATGTTGCAGGATGGACCCCCTCCATATTAGAAACGATAACCACTGCCCAAAAATTTCTGGGTTTTTCGACTCCCCTAGAGTGGTAGGCTGCAGTGACGTGCCGTCATTGGAAGTAGTGGATGCACCGCTTCCCTTGTATTTTCTAAAAAATAAATACATATTAATTTTAATTATATGAAAATAATCGCACAATGTTTTATTATAACCGCATTATGTATCTTATTACAAATTTCTATACTACACGGGGAAAAAAGATAAGATCGCTATTGTATATTCGAATATTAGTGGCGGAGTAGCGGAGTGGAAACGCTGTATCGTCAGCATCCAAAAAGCCAGATTCGCTCACGCGCTTTACAGAGCACCAACTTTACCCGGTTTAGCCGGTGGAAGCCTAGGACCTCGGGTGGCTGCTACACATATACCGCATCCAATTCTATCCAGGACCGGTTCCGGGCTGTTAGCCGCCCGCCCGCTAGATATTTGGCCGCCCTCGCCCGATTACGTGAATCGCGAGTAGATTTATAACTTAACCCAACCGATAAGAATTTACCTGTATGTTTTATGATAGTTTTCTGTATAGTTGACGAGAGTTTTAAAAAATCCGTTAAAATATTTCATATTTTTATTCCGCTCTCCGATTTTATATTACTCGCGGATTTCAATGTTAAACCGGTGATATTACGATTTTGTATGCCCCATCTTTAAGGGGATGTAGAAGAAAACGTGTACAATTCTCGTATAATGTTAAAAAATTAACTGTTACTTTGGTAGCATCATTTACAACTAAATTTAATGAATGAGAGAGATGCACGAGGTACAGAAAAAGCTCTAGAATTTATTTTCCTTAAATTTACGATTTATGTATCCGTTTGTCATAAAAATTTGTCTTTCCACTTTTTCCCGAGACTACAAATATTCGAGTACAAAGTAACCGGTTTCGACTTATTTCTACTTAAGAAGTAGTTAAATAATTAAGCGATTAGGGAATTGGGGACATAAACAAAACCCTGATGAAAGAGCCGGAATATTACTTAAACAAAAGCTTAACCGAACCAATCTATAGCCGAGTACAGTGGGGACTGATTTCTTCGAAATACTGTATTAGATGTAATAAAGACAGAAATTTTTCCAGTTCGACGAGAGTGACCGAAAAGTTGTAAATTTTGGAAATTTCCGTGGACAACACCTGGTCCTAAAACGAATTAGTTAGAAAACAAACGACGGACAATCTATTAAGTTTAACATATTTAGACTTTTACAGCTATGGTGAGAAACGTTTAAAATTTACAAGAACCCTGTCGCGTCTTTTGAGGTATATTAGTGATGCGACAAAAGAAACATTTGACATTGCCAAATCCCGAGGGTATCGGCACCCTCGGGATTTGGCAGCCCGCGTGCATGTACAGTACACACCGCACACCTAGCAGGACCGTCTCTGATTCCACTCGTAGGGAGCTATTTGACTAAGTGGTTAAGATTTAAAGAGTAAAGAATATTTTATGTTATTTTTATGTACGTTTCATTACAAAGTTATATTTAATTATAATTTTCTTTAAAAGTATATTCATACAATTGAAGAATGTTTTGTACCAGGTATGTATATCCACCACACATTTTATTTCACCAAGTAAGTTTTTATAATTTTATTTTTAATTTTAGCCCTTATATCGTGGCTAGCGATTCGGAATGTAATTGCGATATTGAAAATTTATTTTAAAAAAGTTTTGGCTCGAGATCATATAATGAAAAAGAAAACATTATTAAAAGAGAACGGCCAATGCCTAAGTTAAATATAAACGCTTCAATAAAAAAATTTGTTCGATATTTTCACGATAAAATGGCTCTGTAAATGCATAAAAATGCATTTACAGAGTGAAATTAGTGTGTGGAATAAGAATGTCTTTGACAATTTAGCTGGCAAAAGACACGAAAAATCGTCGATTCTTTCGTATTTGAAGCAATTTGGAAATCGAAGCGGAATAGAATTTAACATTAGTAAATAATATAAAATAAATATTGAAAATTGTAACGAGATAGTTACGGTTAATAAATATATTATATCTAAATAAATAGATGTTATACGTTTTTATCAAAGCGAGAATTGGCATTTAGAGGGCATATGGAATATATTGGATCTAATAACAGAGGTAATTATATTGAACTTGTTTATTTATTAAGTACGTCGGATAAATAATCTATTAAAAATACATTTAAAGAAAGAATTAACTGATTGCCCTGGAAGTCGGCTTCTTATAGAAACACAGCTTCCCTATCATCAAATGTCACGGCATGCCACTGTTAAAGTCAGTTTATCTTTATAAACATTTCAACTTATGTTTTTCTCATGAAAAGTTTTTATATAAGCTGAAACGAAGAGGATAAAACGAATGTCTTTTTTTTTGCCTTAGAATCCTCTTTATTTTTTTGTTATCGAAAATTGTTCAGAATTGAAAGAATCTAATTGATACAAACTTATGCTTCGTTAGGTGTATTTAATTATACTACACAGACATCAAAATGTACTGTACATTAAAATATTCTTCAATTTTAGTTTCTAAATTATTACGGTTGTTAGTTGTTTTCAATCATGACCTAAATCGCATATTAAATTTTAAAAAGCAATACAAGCGAATGAGCTGATTTTACTACAGAAAAGTATGTATTATAAAAATATTGTATTAAAATTCGCTATTTTCAAATGGAAAAAAAGCCAGTTTGAATTGAGTATTATAAAACAAATCCTTCGGTAAAAGTGGTTGGATTTGTGTAAATATTTCTCATATCTAAGTTCGAAATTTAAATAAGAATCAAACCAGTTCGTCTGAATGTCTATCAATGCAGGCGCGATCCCGTTTGGCGAATTCTTGCCCGGATTGATCCCATTTGTTGTAAGTTATCGACGGATAGATAATAATAGCGATATAGAGACTTGTTTAGCAGAATTATTGGGCAGCAATTTGAAAAATCTCTAGACCTATAAATTTTCTCTGACTGTGAACTTCCTTAATCTAATCTCCAGAACGGAGGTATATTAGATGAAAACCAAGACAAGACATGGAAGGAGTCGGGACGTAGGCCCCGATTAACTATACAGGAACGTCCTATACAAATGAAAGTGACGTTATTTCAGTTCAAACATTTCCCCCTGTAAGGAAACAGATGGGAGACGGCACGACTCTATTGCTACAGGAAAAGTATGATGTACAGAGGCCAGCCACTATTATATAAGGTGCAAAGTGTATATTTTAAATTAAATAAGTTAAAAATACGATTAGAATTTTTAACCCGGCAATATGACCGCGTCGCAATAAATAATTGCTGGTTTGTATATAATTTCTTTCGGAAATTTTAAAATGACTGCTTATTTGAGGATAAATTTTAAATATTTCAAATGTCGTCGAAATTTAAATAGAAAATTTATAATTTCATTTTTTAACTTTAAAAATGTTTTGAACAAAAACGTGTGTGGAATTAACTGGAACAGATGCAAAAAATATCGCGCTGTACATCTATGTGACGTCAAATTTTACTTCTACATGTTGAAATTTATAAATTAGACTCATAGAAGATAATCCCGTCAGTTGTAATTGAAGTTGCAAATTACTCATTCTCTTCTGCTTTCCAGTTGCAAGTAGAATCATGATGAAGTTCGTGCTGCCGTTTTTCATCTTAAGTACTTATTTATTCATTTTCTATTACCGATTAGTGAAATTTGTTCTTTCTGAATATTTTTCTGGCAATGAATTTATTGTAAAATTTTCTTCAACATTAATATTTTTGTTTTAATCGTAATTTATCTTTAAGATTTAATTCGAAAACAACCCGGAAATTGTGCGTTGGGTTCAATTAATGAAGATATTTCACTTTCTACATTGATTGAAAAGTTTGAAGCAATACCTTCTGTAAGTAAAAACTCTTCATTAATGCAAATAATTAATAGTATATTATGTTTCAGTACGCATTACTGTTAATTATTATACACACTTGGACTTGATTTATACTTCGTATTTCTTGAGCTAGAACATTTATGTACCACCATGTATAAATAGCCATGTTTTGTGCTGGATGACCAAGTCATATTTCTTACAATAACGTAATTAAAGTGTCTTTGTAATAACGACAATTTAGTCGGAAGAATTTTTCATTAAATTCTTAATTCTGCTTTAATTTTAAAATATTTATTATTAATTTTTGTAATGCAAGATTCTAATAAATGTTTTTTTGGAAGATTTTTTAATGTAATTTTGTTGTGATCAAGATCGGACATTAAAGGAAGTAACTTCACTCGTACGAAATTAATTAGAACAATCTTTATTTTACATTAATTTAGAAAATGCATCATTACTTAAGAAATTTACGTTTCGTTTTTAATTGTACTTGTGAATCAAATAGTTTTCTATGGGCTTTTTTAGACAGTTAATACATTATTATTATTCATTAAATGCAGGCTTTCATGTGAAAAGGTCATATTTGGAAAAATGATATCATTATATTATTAGTCATTAGTCATTATGATGATATATAATGACTATATCATTATAGCCAAATGAGATGGCTATAATGATTAGCCATCTCATTTGGCTATAATGATGAACATAAACCTATTATTTTCCAACATATTGCTTCTTAACTTTTTTGTATTTTTAATCATATATTTCAACAATTGTTTGTTTTCATAAAATACCATAGTTTTTTGAAAAAAAAAATTAATTTAATTAATGGATAATTTTCATTAGTTTGGAGTTATTTCTAGTCGATCATGAAGTCATAATAGAGCTAAATTATCAATGGTATAACAGGGCTACCACTGAAGAAGTAATTATTTTACTTAATCGTACTTTTAACAATAAAGTCGTGCCGATCATCTATTAACTGCTTTCAGGGGAAACTTTTGAATTGAAATAACATGACCCAGTTTGCATCGGAAGTTCATATATAGTTAGTTGGGGCTTCCTGCCCCTAAGGTTTCCATATCTCGTCTTGAATTTCACTTAAATAACACCGTTCTCGAGATTAAGGAAAGACAGACGGACAGACGAACGACATTGAGAAACAATTTGAAAAGTTTTTCAAATTGCAGTACAATAAACTAACCAAAATTCATGACAGATAATAAACTTTTAAGTTTGGTAAACAAATTTTATTCAAATTAGATATTTTAAAATACATTATTATAAAGTTATTAAATATAACAATACCTGTATTCAATATTTTTGTCAAAATTTTTCATTTTTACAGATAAAAATAGTATTTTTTTTTTATAAACATGATATATTTCAAAATTTATTTTTTGCAATTTAATCAAAACTCTTTCATACATAGTTGTCAACAAAATGTTTAGATACAAAATAAAACTGATATTAGTTAAAAGTATACTTTGTACTGTACATAGCAATAGTTAATTTTCTCTTCCTTTCTTTTTAATTTTTAAAATGAAAATATCTGAGCTATGAAAATCTGGATGCATTTCTGATATAGGAATGTTTTCAATAACAAATGTTTCTTTAATTGTCTATAAATTAAAAAATATTTTAATTAGACTGCAGGATAAAAATTACATACATATGTATATATAAAGTATAAAGGTTGTTGAAATGAAACATAGACTGGACTATATGGAATATGCAGTGTCATTTGTCACCATATTGCAGTATGTACAGTATAATGACAAAGGTGTATTAGCTGCTATAAGAAATCGCCTGCATTCAAACACAGCACAAGTTTGCATATACCAGATATGGACAAATGCAGCTCTTTTTGAGTTACATGCGGCTCTTGCTGAAAGTGTTAATTTCTGCTTTTTATTATTATTTTTACAATTTTATTTCCACAATTTCCTGAAAATATGTTTATTAAAAAATTCAATATTTGTTTTATATTATATTTATATTATATAATAAAATCGCGGTACAGAATAAAAAAGTACAGAACTGCAGCTCCCATGCATTTTGCAAAACCTACATTTCGACTCCCACTAAACTTTTGCTTGCCCACTCCTTGCATATACCCTCTATATAGGAGGAAGACCGCTGGATGAACCATTCAGTTATAACTACTTGAGTTTTGCTGTCAAACTGGAATCTGCAACCTTTGACAAACTTTTTCAAAGGTCTGCAGACATGGAAGTTACAAAGTGACATACTGAAGATGCGAAGCAAATGCTGCATCACTTTACATCACTTTGGAAGTTCTGTAGTACCTGCCTTACGGTTTCAGACCATTCTTGTGTCATCTTGTAACTTCCATGATTTCAGACCATTAAAAAAGCTTGTCAAAGGTCGCAGATTCCAGTCTGACAGTAAAGCCCAAGTAGCTATAATTAAATGGTTCATCCAACAGTCTTTCTCTTTCTATGCTGAAGTTATATGCAAACTTGTGCCTTGTTGAGACACGTGTCTGAATGCAGTACATGATTTCCCATAACAGCTAACACAACTTTATCATTATGCTGTATATACTGTAATGCTGCTATGGTAACCAGCAGTAACACTCTTAGCACCAGGCAAACAAAACACTTGTCTTGGGTCTGGGCTTAGGGACTTCTGCATTTTGTGAAAATTAAATGAATTAAGTTTAAGTTTAGTCAAGGTATCAAATTTTGAATTTTTAAAAATTATATTAATCTTATAGAAAATTTGCAATTGAAATTGAATCAGCAGAATTGCAAATGCTATAAAATGCATTTTTCAAAACAGTAAGGATTTTGGAAATGGCTGCATTTTTATAATTATATGATGATACTTTGTGTATTTATCAATAAATTTTGTATTTATTAGTTGCAAATTTTGATGTTAAAAAGCCATTTCATACTGTGCTGAATTTATCATCAAATTTAATAACATGCATATTTTATATTTGTCATTTATGAATGTACAGTACATATATAACAAAAATTATTTTTGTGTTATTTATTATAAAATTTGGTATTAAATTAAGCATAGTGGAAAATGGTTTTTATATGTTAACTGTATTATAAATGGACTTCTCTTTTCAGTCAAGCATATATCCATAGCAAGATGATATGACTAACAAAACATGAAAGAAGAAATGATAAAATGTATGGATTCATAAATTATTTAAAAAAATGAAAAACATCAAGATATAAAGTAACTTACTTAATGAAATTAAAATACAGTGGAACCCCGGTTAACGAACTTAATCCGTTCCGCGACTCCGTTCGTTAACTGAATTGTTCGTTAACCGAAGCAATTTTTCCCATAGAAATTAATGCAAATGCAATTAATCCGTTCTAGTCTCCGAAATTTTTGTGATTTTATTTGTAATATACAGTAATTTTTTTTTATGAAAATGTAGGAAAACGTAGTATCTATCATTACAGCAACAAACATGTAAACTTTGTTTAATAAAATACCACTGTACAGTACATACCTTCGTTTGTTGTAGTTGGTGGCAGAAAAGTGGAGACATACAAACCTTAATGCTTAGAAGGGGAATCCCCTCCAAAAAATTAACGGGCAGCACTTCATCGGAAGATTCTTTGAGTCGAAGTCTCTTTCAGTAAAAGAAACCCACCAGTGGCTAAGTGGTCTTCGTACCTTGAACACGGGGAGTTCGTTCGTGAGTTTGCACCTCGCTCAGACGGGCTGGCCATGTGGAGTTTTCCGGGTTTTCTCCGCGTCTGTAATGCCTAAATAGGATCCAGTTTCCCTTAAAAACACCTCCCAGAAGGCATTCCCCCTAGGCAGATCCCCCAAGTCAACACTTGGGCGATATGCCTAGGGGGATCTGTTTGTTAAATTACTGCATTGCCATAACTTAACAAACAAACAAACTCTTTCCGTAAGGAACAAGAAACTGATCTAAAGCTAATTGTCTTACTCTTTAAATCAAAATTTTTCTCAAATGCAATAGCACGTTCTTATTTTCTATTGCCACTATGACTTTTTTTCTTGAATGCCATATTGATTAAATATATAAATCACAAAACTGAAAAAAAGTAGTACAGTATAGCACTCCGAAAAGCAATGCTTAACTCGCACATGCCTAACACCAACTAAAATTTGACACAAAATACTGTTACGTTCGTTATCCGAATTTTGTTCGTTATCCGAGACAAATTTTTTGCAAAATAAAAGTTCGTTAACCGATTTGGTCGTTAACCAGGGCGTTCGTTAACCGGGGTTCCACTGTATTTTGTGACATTTTTTCTGAAAATTCATTATGTACTACTCTAATGCATTGTTTAACTGTGATACATAAAATTAAGGATTCATTTCTAAATTTGTATATGGCTTTAAGAATCTTGTTAGCTCTTTCAATTGCTAATGCCTCTGCAGCACACTGTTTTTCTAAGTTACAGTTTACTCCTGATTATCTGGGCTAATTAACAGTAGTGGAGGCTTGAATAATCCACAAGTCTGTTTTAATGAATGCAAATCGATTTTTCTTTTATTTAGTTTTTATCTATTTCAGATTAAATTTAACATAACAGTTTATATATTATGAATAAAATACACTTTAACAATAATGATTAATTAATTAACAGTAAATTCAGAAAAATTTATTGAACTAGCACCATGCAGTTCACAATCGATTTCTTATACAGTAAAACTTGTCCAAAAAAAACCCCAAGTACAATGAAAACCTGCCTAAATGGGAAAGTCTTCAGAACAGAGCAATTTTCTATGTTAAAAAAAAAACTTATGCAAAATAAAAACCTGTCAAACCAGAAAAATATTCAGTATGGTAAGATTCCAGTTTACACAGATTTTATTGAGTTATTAACCAAGGATGACAGATTGCCAGCTAGATATTGTCATAAAATGTCATTAATTCTGTGATATCAATGATAGTCCTGAATCACTTTTTCTTGTTCTATTTTTCAGATCTTGCTCTATTGTGTTAAAAGTGTAATTTTTCAGAATCACTTAATTTGAAAAAACCAATTCAAATTACAGTCTACTGAGAACAAAGAGAGACATGAGAGAGAGAACACAAGGTTGTGTTCTCTCTCTCTCGTGTCTCACAAGGTTGTGTTCTCTATCTCCATTCTCATTCCAAGCAACTTACATTCAATAAATAAAAAATGCAAACATTTCATAACTCTATTCAAAAACTTTACAGGTACTTAAAGGTACCTTTAAAGTATGATACAGCATGCTTAATAATATGCAGGAAAAAATGAAAAGGATTTACAAATGAAAATTAATCAGCGATAAGTTTCTCTTTACACTTTTGTTTTAAAATAAGTGGCATGTACAATTAAAAAGTCTTCATCAAAGCAGTTTTGTGTTCATATTATGTAAGCATAATTAATATTTTGCTTAAAATCTTACTTCCATTGGTTGTAAATTTATTAATATAGACAATGAAGATTTTGCTAATTCCTCATCATAATTTTCAGGCATATATTGATATATTGCTCAACATCTTTGTAATGTAATACAGTAATACCCCGAACTTACGCGATAGGTGGGACCAAGTGATAACCGCGTAAGTCAAATTCGCGTAAGTCGGGGTATAATTTCTCAATTTGTGTAAAATCCAAGTCAGATGTATGTAAGCTAATAAATGTTCTGGTTAATCTTATCTCATCGTTTGATTCGGTTACGGTTACAAGAAATCACCACATAGAGTCTCTCAAGTCTCCATAGATATAAATAACAAACAGAAATAAATAACACAAAATAAATTGCAGCTATGTGTCGATTCCGCGCGACATTGTCGAACATGTAAGCCGAACAATAGTATGGGGGAATGAATAATCAAACGTTGCGGGGCGCTCAAACAAAAGACGAATCGACGAGATTTGAATATTGCGTAACTCCGGGTTTGCATAAGTCGGGGTAGTGTAAGTCGAGGTATAACTGTATATTATAAAATAATAAACCAGACTGAATTATATTAGAGTAAATGTCTACTAAATGAAACAGTAGTCAATAAAATAGTAGAACCATTCATCATCATGTAAACTAATATTGTATAGTTAATGCCATGATGATCATAAAGTCTGTTACAAATTCTCATTATCATCAAAATATGATCTTTTTAATAAAAATGAACATAAAATATTAATTATATTTTACCTTGATGGGTAGTCGCACAGCACACTTGTAATTGACCACCACTTCAGCCAGGCGGCATTACGTGTGCAACCACCTCATGGCACAAGTCACCGTCAGCAGAAAACTTTGCAGTGCTACCATCATCATCTTAATATATTACTTAATTTCATCATAACAAGCAGGTAAAACTTATTGTAATATTTCAATGATATCTATTTCTTCAAATAATCTCTTTTGAGTTTCCATGTTTGTTCAGTTGCTTGAAATTGTGAGTTAGAATACTATAATACCAAATGCAGATGACAAAAATCATCACTCATAAGTGGACATACAACAATATAATATGAGGAAAACAGGAAATACAAACAATAACATTTTGTTCTATTTCATTTAATTTTAAGTATATTAGAATGCCATCTTGTGACAATATTAAAAACTATAGAAAGAAAAAAATACATTTATCTAAAAATTTTAAAAATTGTTGTTAAAAAAATATATGGACCTGTGTAGTAACACCATGTTTTATAAAGTCTAATCTATGTTTCATTTAAACAACCCTTATATAAGATTTAATTTATTTAGATTAAACAACTTAGAAATTCATAATATGAAATATTTTAAGATTTTAACTCAAATATAAAATAATACTTACATCAAAAAATTCAGTTTGTAATAAGTTACTGTTATGAAAACTTCTTTCTTCGTAAGATAGTAAAATTTCAGTATTAGAATCACTCAGCATTGATAAAGTATTCACTAATGGCTTTAGAGACTAGAAATATTGAAAAATATTACATTATTTGGATAAAATTCTGTAAAATAATACATTAAACTTTAAAAATATATATATAATTAATCAATCTATTTGACTATTCAAAGCACAAAAAATCATTTACAATATTTGAAAAAATTAAACTTTAATTCTTGAACTGAACTTGAAATAATGAAATATGATTAACTGAAATAATACTTTTTTTGAATGGAGAAACAAACATTCAAAAGAATTCTCTGAAGAAATTAAAAATAAAAATATTTGAATGTATATATTTATTGTCAGAAGTGATCCTATATATATAAACAAAAAAGTGCCTCATGCTTTCAGGGACCTTGAAAATTTGGTAGTATATTTCAGTATTTAAATCAACAAATTGGTAACCATTAAAAATATTATTTTACTATTACCAGTATCTGTTGCATTTATAGAACAATCATTTTTAGAGTTAAAACTGATCAAGACTTTCTTTACTTTTGATCTTGTCTGTTGAAAGAGATATTTCTACAGAACCATGCTTTTTGGTATATATGATGTAATTTCCATAGCTTTACTGTAATTACAAATCATAATTTTGGTGAGAATATTTCTATTTTACTTTAAACTTACAAGACTTCTTAACACTATTAAATTATAATATTTTATGTTTCTTCAAATTAAAATCACATAACCCAATAATCATTTCTAAACTTATTGTGATAGTGTCCTACTTTTTTGGATTAATAAGATACCATGTGCAAGATATTAAAAAAGATGATGATAAAGTAATTATATATTTCTTCTAAATCATTTCTAATCAATTGTCATTCAAACTGTCTGAAACAGAATAAACAACTTATATCCACTTATTCTTAGTAGAGAAACATTTGGGATAATACATTACTTATCAAGAATAGTAAAAGAAATGTCAAATATAAAATGAGTATAATTTCAATTATCAAAATTACCTTGTTACTTTACTATTTTAATGTTAAAATACATTATGATAATTAACTTTACTAAACAATACTACTTCCAATACACCGTAACTTCAACAGACTTACTTCTAGAATAACCAGAACGGTGCTAAAATCGCTTTAATTTGTTTCACTAACATTTTCGAACCTTCTGGTTCTTCTTCAGGTGTGAAGAAGAACCAGAAGGTTCGAAAACGTTAGTGAAACAAATTAAAGCAATTTTAGCACTGTTTTGGTTATTCTAGAAGTAAGTCAATTAACTTTACTGTTGAAAGCAGTTGTCACATAAGAATGTTCTATTTCATTTTCAATATGATTTCATTTTGTAAATTAATTTTGAAATAAACCATAATTAACACAAGAAATAATTTATAGAGAAATATTTAATTATAATAAAAAGTATAGTATAGTTTATGTTTAAAAACACACACAAAAACAAACAAGCACTAAAGTGTGAAAGTACGTACATTCCTTTGATAGTAATGATATGTGACCAGAGGATCAGCACCTCTTTGGTGCCTTGTCAGGACTGAGTAAGGATGTCACTGTGTTGCACGAGACACGTTGGTGACATCTCCTTACTCAGTCCTGATGAGGCACCAAAGAGGTGCCAACCCTCTGGTCACAAATACCTTTGCCTTCCATTATTATTAGGCACTTTCAAGCAGAATTTTAGTTAATCAAGTTGAAACAGTTTACAAATTATTTACAATATCACAACAGTAAGATGCACACAGTGTAATCACAAATGAACAAATTTTTAGATGCAAAAAAAAGATTTTTTTCATAATTTAGGTAAAATTTATATTATATATAGCAATGATTGAATAATGACTTTTCTTGCAAATAACTGTTTTAAAATGTTTCTATTAAAATATTTTAAGAGAATGAAAACAATTGTATTGAACTTTTACATTCAAATTTGCATTTCTTAACATTTAAAAATACAAAAATTCTACATTTTTTAGAACATGACAAGTACTGTACATACATAACTAACAAATGCCATTAAAATGTTAATCATTCCAATTATTTTATAATTGCATAAGTAACATTAAATAATTAAAAATGAATTATAACTAACATCATTCTACAACTCAGTTTTTAGAGATAAAGTTGTGCTTCTTTCAGAACAAAAACGCTTGTACAAAGAAAAGCTTCTTTCAATAATCACTGAAACATACTTCATTTTTAACTCTAAATTCTATACTTTGTCTTCCTTAACTAATTTCTCAATATTTGGGTTCTTTGCCAAACTTTGTTGCAATTTGTCTAATGTAGAACTGTCCAATTTGCTTACTGCTTACTAAATAATTTTCCACTGTTATTCAAAAAAGAAGCTTGTTTTTCTTTTAATAGCTGTTTTACACTTTGGCACAGAAACTTAAATGTCAGAAACACAATAAAGATTGTCCTGAAGTTTAGTTTCCTTCATTAATACCTTTGTGTTTGTACATTTGTAAGAACTCTACTTATCTAAACTTTTTACAAATGCAAATTTTTTGAAAATTTTTAGTGTAGAAGGCTGCATTCTTAATCCATGTACTCCATCTGGTAACTAGATGATTTGGCATGGTCAGATCAATTCTCTCTTTATAAATGTTTATAGAAAAAATATTCACACCTTAGAAATCAACTCCAGCAATAGTTCAACAAAAACATTTTCAATCTAATTTAATAGGTCTTCATCAATTGAAAATGTTTTTTTTTTTTTTTTTTCATGAAGCTTTTTTGCTGGAGTTGATTTCTAAGGTGTAAATTTATTTTCTGGCATTCCCTCCAGTTTCTGTATGTTGATATTGACAGGAAACTAACAAAACTTTTTTCATTAATGAATTCATTTTGTGAGTATTCTGAGCAAATAGTTTCATACACAGTGCAAAGTGTGGCCAAGCAGGACACATGGCTTAAATTAGGGTAAAGAAGTTTTATATTAGACCCTGCTACCAGCATATATGCTGCTTGATCAGTAACTAACAGCCAACTTTTACATTAAAGCCAAATGATTTGCTGGATTGATTATCATGCTTTGAGATATTTATATATGCATACTTTTACATATTCAATCAATCAATTTATTAATTCCTTTAAGAGTTAAAACCCCTGGAATGGGAGAAAATACATTATATACTTTTACATATTTAATTTTTGAAAGCCATTTGGTCAAGCATGCATCATTAAATAATTGCATAATGGTTTTTGTATTGAGTTTTCCATGTGGTACTGTACATTTTATTGGGGAAATGGGTTTCCCCATTAAGTGGAGTAACCAAAACATTTAAAACATGCCATTTTAAGGAATGTGATCTTGTCCATTATCAAGACAACTGAATGGCCTCCAATAATTGTCAAAATCTTATTCATTGTATCTAGACTATTAATGATGCCATCTATGTTCTTGTGAATACAGATGGCTTCACAGTAGATAATTATAAGTTATAAAAGTTGTAATACCTGAAAGAGAGTCAAGTTTTTTAAGAAATAGGGGAGGAAAAATGAACCATAAGCTACGAAGGTGAAATTTATAGATTCATCTGCACATAGTGCTTTTAGACGAAATTATCATAGACTTAATTGGATTTTATTTGACCTCAAATGTTTTCATTGCATGCCAGTTACCCTTCATTTTCAATATGATTTCATTTTGTAAATTAATTTTGAAATAAACCATAATTAACACAAGAAATAATTTATAGAGAAATATTTAATTATAATAAAAAGTATAGTATAGTTTATGTTTAAAAACACACACAAAAACAAACAAGCACTAAAGTGTGAAAGTACGTACATTCCTTTGATAGTAATGATATGTGACCAGAGGATCAGCACCTCTTTGGTGCCTTGTCAGGACTGAGTAAGGATGTCACTGTGTTGCACGAGACACGTTGGTGACATCTCCTTACTCAGTCCTGATGAGGCACCAAAGAGGTGCCAACCCTCTGGTCACAAATACCTTTGCCTTCCATTATTATTAGGCACTTTCAAGCAGAATTTTAGTTAATCAAGTTGAAACAGTTTACAAATTATTTACAATATCACAACAGTAAGATGCACACAGTGTAATCACAAATGAACAAATTTTTAGATGCAAAAAAAAGATTTTTTTCATAATTTAGGTAAAATTTATATTATATATAGCAATGATTGAATAATGACTTTTCTTGCAAATAACTGTTTTAAAATGTTTCTATTAAAATATTTTAAGAGAATGAAAACAATTGTATTGAACTTTTACATTCAAATTTGCATTTCTTAACATTTAAAAATACAAAAATTCTACATTTTTTAGAACATGACAAGTACTGTACATACATAACTAACAAATGCCATTAAAATGTTAATCATTCCAATTATTTTATAATTGCATAAGTAACATTAAATAATTAAAAATGAATTATAACTAACATCATTCTACAACTCAGTTTTTAGAGATAAAGTTGTGCTTCTTTCAGAACAAAAACGCTTGTACAAAGAAAAGCTTCTTTCAATAATCACTGAAACATACTTCATTTTTAACTCTAAATTCTATACTTTGTCTTCCTTAACTAATTTCTCAATATTTGGGTTCTTTGCCAAACTTTGTTGCAATTTGTCTAATGTAGAACTGTCCAATTTGCTTACTGCTTACTAAATAATTTTCCACTGTTATTCAAAAAAGAAGCTTGTTTTTCTTTTAATAGCTGTTTTACACTTTGGCACAGAAACTTAAATGTCAGAAACACAATAAAGATTGTCCTGAAGTTTAGTTTCCTTCATTAATACCTTTGTGTTTGTACATTTGTAAGAACTCTACTTATCTAAACTTTTTACAAATGCAAATTTTTTGAAAATTTTTAGTGTAGAAGGCTGCATTCTTAATCCATGTACTCCATCTGGTAACTAGATGATTTGGCATGGTCAGATCAATTCTCTCTTTATAAATGTTTATAGAAAAAATATTCACACCTTAGAAATCAACTCCAGCAATAGTTCAACAAAAACATTTTCAATCTAATTTAATAGGTCTTCATCAATTGAAAATGTTTTTTTTTTTTTTTTTTCATGAAGCTTTTTTGCTGGAGTTGATTTCTAAGGTGTAAATTTATTTTCTGGCATTCCCTCCAGTTTCTGTATGTTGATATTGACAGGAAACTAACAAAACTTTTTTCATTAATGAATTCATTTTGTGAGTATTCTGAGCAAATAGTTTCATACACAGTGCAAAGTGTGGCCAAGCAGGACACATGGCTTAAATTAGGGTAAAGAAGTTTTATATTAGACCCTGCTACCAGCATATATGCTGCTTGATCAGTAACTAACAGCCAACTTTTACATTAAAGCCAAATGATTTGCTGGATTGATTATCATGCTTTGAGATATTTATATATGCATACTTTTACATATTNTCTGGGAATGGAACCGCTTGGCCACTTTAATAGTATCAATATATTATCTTCTCGACTATAACACAAAGTCACTGCTCAAAAATGCCTTTCGTAATAATAATAGGCAAAAATATTTACCCATTTTAGTGCATTTTAATTAATATATATTAAAGCATTTTTATATAGTTGTTATATACTTATTATTTTGCTTTTGAGTTCATACTTGATAAATAATAATTTTTAGGAAACAACAGGAAAATGTAAAAGATATCAAACTTTAAATTATTAGAATTATATGCTACATAATTTATCAAATTTAGCTATTTCTGAACTTTAAATCCATCACCTTGTAATTTCATAAAGAATTATTGCCTACAAGCTTCAATCACTTAGCTTCTCATTTGTCATATTTATCAGATTTATAATTAAGGCAATTAAAGTAGAATTTGCCTATATAATTAATCACAAATGATTGAATCTTCTCACTTTTTCATAATATATACAATCTCCAACTAAAAGCAGATCTGGCTGTGAAAAATTTGAATTAGTTTCTCCCCATTTAAGTACATCAGCTTTGACAGATCCCAAAAAATGATGTTTGTTTTCCTCAATGTTAATCTCCAGAAGAGGCAGTAATTCCGGAAGGTCAGTCAAAATAACATTTCCACTGAAATAGGATACAGTTATTAATTGTTTAGAAATGCATTATATGTATATGTATACATACTGTAGGTATTCACCCGATACATGCGGCAACAAGTCCAACTAAACCAGTTCCGGATCCTATATCTATTACATTCTTCCCCAGAAGTAATGGATATTCATTGTTACTTGTCATGTTTAAATAGTCTAAATATTTTGCTAGTACTAATCCTGCATCCTGAAGAAAATATGGCCCGCAGGCTATGATAAGTTGGACAGCGCTGACAGTGATAAAGTCACTGTCAAAGTCACTGTCACTGCTACAAAGGCAAAATCTATTTTTTACTTAATTTACTTTCAAATAATGTACTTGAACATAAATTAGCTNGTTCCGGAGCGTTGTGACGCAGTCCGGAGGGACTGCGTCACAGCGCTCTGGAATAGATTTTGCTACAAACGCAAAATCTATTTTTTACTTAATTTACTTTCAAATAATGTAAATAATCTATATAGTACTTGAACATAAATTAGGTAACTCTCACACTTTTTACTTTTATTTATACAAGCTAATCATTATTGAAAAAGTTAAAAATTTCAATGTTTTTGCTATGGTTTAGAATATATTAAATCTCCCAATTCTTTTTCAAGATCAACCAAAATTGATTTCAATTCTAAAGAATTTCTTTCCTTTATTTTTGATCATATTGACATATTTTACCATCCCAAACATTANATATTTTGCTAGTACTAATCCTGCATCCCAAACAACGCAACCGACATCTCCAACTTCACACTGATTAATTTTAAGCACCACATTAACACTTTCAACTTCTACTTCCCGGGAAAACGTGCTCTCTACCGCTGCCATATTGATTTCCTCCATAAAAAAAATCCTACGCGTTGTTGCCAGATGTGTAATTCATAATACAAAAACGTAATATGCACAACCTACGCAGCTTACGAGATTGAGACAGGCCGGGAAATTTGACGTCAAACAATAGCGCAGTGCTGCCACCTTCACAATAGCATGACACTATACTAATACAAAATCCAGTCACTAGTAATTACAATATGCTAGCTACTTGGTAGCTAGCATACTTTTACAAATTTTAGAAACAAATTATTATATGGATTAACCACTCTAAAACAGATCCCAAAAATGAAATTGCAATGCACACTTACATTTCTAGCTAATTATTTATGAAAAATAAGAATACATTAAACAAATTTGTTCACATTGCAAATATTTCTTAGGAAGATGTAGATGAGTAACAAAACCTAACATAAAATTTGATAACAGTGATCAGCGCTGTCCAACTGGCGGCCCACGGGCCGTATAAGGCCTGCCAAATAATTTTTACGGCCCGCAAGTACATTTTACTATGAATAAATTTATGTTACTAAATTATTATTATTAATAAAATTATTTTACTACCGTGTTTCCCCGAAAATAAGACAGTGTCTTATATTAATTTTTGCTCTGAAAAATGCGCTGTCTTATTTTCAGGAAATGTCTTTATTTTCCAGGAAGAAGAATTCACATTTATTATTGAACAAAAAAATTCCCAAGTCGAACTTAGACGAGAGTGACGTATATCCGGTGTGTCGAACTGTCGCCTTTTTATAGCGTCAACATCGGACTCGCTGACCAATTAGTGCTTACTGAACCGTAGCACTTTGCAAATGTCATGTGGTTTATCAACCTTCTTGGCCCCCGAAATGTTTGGTGAAGAAAATATGGCCCGCAGGCTATGATAAGTTGGACAGCGCTGACAGTGATAAAGTCACTGTCAAAGTCACTGTCACTGCTACAAAGGCAAAATCTATTTTTTACTTAATTTACTTTCAAATAATGTAAATAATCTATATAGTACTTGAACATAAATTACGTAACTCTCACACTTTTTACTTTTATTTATACAAGCTAATCATTATTGAAAAAGTTAAAAATTTCAATGTTTTTGCTATGGTTTAGAATATATTAAATCTCCCAATTCTTTTTCAAGATCAACCAAAATTGATTTCAATTCTAAAGAATTTCTTTCCTTTATTTTTGATCATATTGACATATTTTACCATCCCAAACATTACATTTTAAAGTTGCATAATAAACAAAGTCTCCTTGAACCCTTGTTCAAACCAAATTCATTCCTTCCACTAATATTTAGTGATTGCTCCATGGATAAATTTCGATTAGATAAGACTTTCTAATTACATCAAAATTAGTTGGCATTTCTTGGATAAAAACTATAACTATTGTTTTAGTTCTGTCAATTCAGTTATTTGTTACCAGTTAATATTTGAAGTTTGAACTGGTTTCTCACAGAGATAATTCAAAAATCTAATGAAGTGTTTGAAATTCTATTACAAATGTTTTTACAAAAGATATATGGCTTTTGAAATTTGGAACTAAAAATCTATTAATGGCACCAGTGCCGGCCCGAGGAAAATTTTAGAATGGAGCGAGATCCTATTATGGAGCCCCTCTTGGTTGCCCCTAATTTATACCCTTTAATTTTCTTAAACACTGTGGTGCCCCCAAAAACTTAGCACCTGGAGCGGTTGCTCCGTTCGCTTTATGGTAGGGCCAGTTCTGAATGGCACCATGCACAAATTTATTTTTTAAATAGAAATTCAAATTCCTAGTTTATTCTTAATTAATTAATGTAATTTAGACTCAAAAATTCATTGACGTTCATAGGTAACATTGAAGAGCTTTAATAGTTAGTTTGTTTAGTTAAGTTATGGCAACACAATACTTGGGTGATCTGCCTAGAGAAGATGCCTTCCGGGAGATCTTTTTAAGAGTAACTGGCCCCTATTCAGGCATTACAGACATGGAGAAAACCTGGAAAACTCCACGTGGCCAGCCTGTCCTGGCGAGGTGCAAACCCACGACCGAACTCCCAGTGTTCTGGGAACAGAACCGCTTGGCCACTTTAATAGTATCAATATATTATCTTCTCGACTATGACACAAAGTCACTGCTCAAAAATGCCTTTCATAATAATAATAATACAGTAGAACCTCAAAAACTCGGCTCTCGATAACCCGGCACTCCGGATAACTCGGCCACACCCTGGCAGGGCAAAAAAATCCTTAGTTAATTAATTTTCATTATAGACAGTTTTATAAAAGTATAAAAGCTCTCGTAAAGTATTTTTCTGAGGTCTGTCTTATCAGGTAAATTACTGTACACAGTGTATACATTAATTTTCATTTTCATGTAGTAAAGGCTCTATGCCTTCATAAAGGACGTACTTTTCCTTTGTTTAAGGGTATTTGGGCAGTTTATTCTCTGTTATATTCTCAAGTAAACAATACATACAAGTACAGTACAGTATTTTCTGAGGAAACACTCGTACTTATTTTTTTTAACCCCATTCCCGATAACCCAGCATTTTCACAAACTCGGCCACCCTTCGGTCCACATTAGGCCGAGTTTTCGAGGTTCTACTGTAATAGGCAAAAATATTTACCCATTTTAGTGCATTTTAATTAATATATATTAAAGCATTTTTATATAGTTGTTATATACTTATTATTTTGGTTTTGAGTTCATATTTGATAAATAATAATTTTTAGGAAACAACAGGAAAATGTAAAAGATATCAAACTTTAAATTATTAGAATTATATGCTACATAATTTATCAAATTTAGCTATTTCTGAACTTTAAATCCATCACCTTGTAATTTCATAAAGAATTATTGCCTACAAGCTTCAATCACTTAGCTTCTCATTTGTCATATTTATCAGATTTATAATTAAGGCAATTAAAGTAGAATTTGCCTATATAATTAATCACAAATGATTGAATCTTCTCACTTTTTCATAATATATACAATCTCCAACTAAAAGCAGATCTGGCTGTGAAAAATTTGAATTAGTTTCTCCCCATTTAAGTACATCAGCTTTGACAGATCCCAAAAAATGATGTTTGTTTTCCTCAATGTTAATCTCCAGAAGAGGCAGTAATTCCGGAAGGTCAGTCAAAATAACATTTCCACTGAAATAGGATACAGTTATTAATTGTTTAGAAATGCATTATATGTATATGTATACATACTGTAGGTATTCACCCGATACATGCGGCAACAAGTCCAACTAAACCAGTTCCGGATCCTATATCTATTACATTCTTCCCCAGAAGTAATGGATATTCATTGTTACTTGTCATGTTTAAATAGTCTAAATATTTTGCTAGTACTAATCCTGCATCCCAAACAACGCAACCGACATCTCCAACTTCACACTGATTAATTTTAAGCACCACATTAACACTTTCAACTTCTACTTCCCGGGAAAACGTGCTCTCTACCGCTGCCATATTGATTTCCTCCATAAAAAAAATCCTACGCGTTGTTGCCAGATGTGTAATTCATAATACAAAAACGTAATATGCACAACCTACGCAGCTTACGAGATTGAGACAGGCCGGGAAATTTGACGTCAAACAATAGCGCAGTGCTGCCACCTTCACAATAGCATGACGGGAATGCGCTTAGAAGTAAAAATGATTCACCAAGCTAATTGGCTGAAAGTTATCACGTGACTCAACGTCACTGCCCCCTCTCTCTCTCTCCCGCATCGATACTTAATTGCATTACTCGTATCGGACAAAAAAAAAACTAAGAACGAGTTGTGTAACTTTTCCGGCTGTTATGAGATTTTATTTTAAAAATAATTTTTTTATATTATTAATCATAACAAATAAATAAAATCGTGTGACGCCATCTGTTATAAGATTTTGTTATAATTGCCCGATTTTGCAGTCGGGCATTTTTAATTATTGTATTATAAAATGGCAAAACGCTTGATTTTGAGGGTAGAGATGAGTTTTATATTAAAAAATACAAAAAAAAAACTAAATTCTAACAAGTAAAATCTTTATTAAGCCCGACTGCACTAGAGATATGACAAGTGATCAACCTTTATTATCCTCTCGACCTTTAACCACGAAAATTTAAAAACATCAATGCTTCTTATACACAAGCTACCAAGCCAAGTTTCGTTTCTTAATCTTTACCACATTTTGAGATATTACAGAGGTTGCGGCGGACGTTTCTGCGATGAAAACGTAGGGCGAAACCTCTCTATTAAACTAGTGTGACCATTTATTTTTTCCCTCAAAATGGGACATCTACTAATTTTTAGGTAATAGTATGAGTATTCAAGAAAACGCATATTTCTTCATATTTTTTTATTTATTAACGAAGAGAGAAGGAATGAACATGTAAAAATGAATAATTTATATGATCTTATATTTTTCTGAAAAACAGATTTGCTTTAGTATATTTGGTGTTGATTTCAAATAAGCATGAAATTCTTGGTAGGATTTCTTAAAATTTACTTTGGTAATTAACATTGCTTTAAGAACTACGACTTTCAACTGTGTTTTTTCGCTTATTCATAATAGAAAAGACCCTTTCAACGGGTGCAATAGTGCCGGGAAGACATAAAATATATTCATTAATTATACGAAAGTTCGTATGATTTAAACTGTGAAAACATTTGAACAATTCAACCCAACGACTTTTTCGGTTGAAACATTTCCAGTGTTCCATTCTGTCACTTTTTTCGATGTAATGTAGTTAGAAACAAGTGAATACTTGTCAAATACTTCTGTATCTTGGTTACAATTAATAAATCCCCAAGTTAATCAATACATCCATTACACTTTGAATTTCTCCTCACGTAAATATTTTGGTTAAATTCGCCCATTCAAATATTTCTAATACTTCAAAGAACAAAGTCCACAGCTCCGAATATTCTTTGCTTATTTTATAGAAGTCAACAGCTGTAGTTTTCATACATTATTTATCAACACCACTGCAGCCACTTTAATGCAATTTTGCTATTAATTGCAGATAATTAAAAATGATGTGATAAATATTACCAGTTTCACTGTTGGAAGAGAAAACCTTTACCTAAACTTTTTATACGTTCTCCGTAGAGTCTGTCTATTTCAAGTTATTAACTACCGTCCTTCTTCTCGAAGGCTTTGTAGATTTCTTCTTCCAAGTTGTTTCGGCCGAGGCACTATTTTCTCTCAATGGCGTCCTTTTCATTTCTTTTATCAGTGAGCAAATTGTAGGGTTTTTCTAAAATCCTACAATTTTCTCATTCCTTAGAATTCTGTGCTTACTACTTATCTCCTTTATAGATCGAACAGTGGGCCTTGTGGTATTTGACTACCACAGCGTGTGATAGAACTTCCTGTGCTGAAACGTTTGGAAGGATGAATATCTACAAACTGTTTAAGATAAAGATGACATGAATATCGACGGCCGAGCGGTCAAGCCTATCGCTCTGGGGGACCCGGGTTCGAATCCGAACGGGTCGAAAAATCCCCAGGAATTTTTCGGGGGGTGGTCCGTTCGGATATGTCGGGCCCCGTCCCTCACTAACGTAATGGGCTTGCAAAAAGAGGCCCCTTAGTGCCACAGGGCGGAAAGAGTTAAAAAAAAGTATGTTACTGTAACATTTATATGTTACTGTAGGCCTATAATAGTACAATTTAGTTAGTTAAGTTATGGCAATGTTATACTTGGGCGTTCTGTCTAGGGGGATGCCTTCTGGGAGGTCTTTTTAAGGGTTTAAGGGAAACTGGCCCCTATTTAGGCGTTACAGGCGTAAAGAAAACCCGGAAAACTCCACATGGCCAGCCAGTCCGAACGAGGCGCAAACCCACGACCAAACTACCAGTGTTCAGGGTATGAAGACTGCTTGGCCACTGGTGGGCCGTACAATTCAGCAAATTCGCTGTAGAGGAAATTGCCGTGAACTTTGATGTTAAACACAATAATATAACGAAACGATTACGTTGTCTCAGTTTATATGAAAATATACAGGGAGGGATGCAATAGGTGAGAGGCCCGATTGAATTTTTTTTTTTTTTGCGGGGCCTCTCAAACTTTAAATAACAAAATTAATTAACAGTTAATTTACATATTGAAATATAGATTTTACATATTTATTAAAACAAAATCCAAGATCTAATTATAAAAATCAAAAGTCATGAAAGTAGACAAATTTCTACATTAAAAAACCTGTACCAAATATAAATACAGTAGAGCCTCGAAAACTCGGCACTCGATAACCCGGCACTCCGGATAACTCGACCACATCCTGGCAGGGCAAAAAAAATCCTTAGTTAATTAATTTTCATTATAGACAGCTTTATAAAAGTATAAAACCTCTCATAAAGTATTTTTCTGAGGTCTGTCTAATCAGGTAAATTACTGTACACAGTGTATTCATTAATTTTCATTTTCATGTAGTAAAGGCTCTATGTCTTCATAAAAAATGTACTTTTCCTTTGTTTAAGGGTATTTGGGCAGTTTATTCTCTGTTATATTCTCAAGTAAACAATACATACAAGTACAGTACAGTATTTTCTGAGGAAACACTCGTACTTATTTTTTT